CGTGATATTGCTGGGACTGGGCATCATGATCGGTAATAAGTACCTCTATGGCGCGAGACCGTTGAAGCGACTCGAAAGTAACTGCAAGTCGCCGGTATTTGAGCTATTCAACGCGGCTCTAGCAGGAGTTTCTACTATCCGTGGCTTCCAGAAGACCCAAGTCTACGTTGATCGGATGTATGACAGGCTGGACAAATGGAACATCATCACTTCTTACATGTGGCTCGTCAACCGTTGGATGGGTATTCGCATGGCCTTTGTGGGAACAATGTTCTCGACCGTCGTCGGCATCATCGTCATTATGAGTCCTAGCATGGACGCTGCCCTCGCTGGATTTACTCTGTCCTTTGCGCTTGACTTTGCCGAGAGCATCCTCTGGACCATCCGCCATTACGCTGGAATGGAGCTCAACATGAACTCGACCGAGCGAGTGGTCGAGTACACCGAACTCGAGACGGAGTCTTTGGAAGGCGAGAAACCCCCTGCGGCTTGGCCTACTTCGGGCACCATGGAGGTTGACAACCTTGAGGTTGCGTATGCCCCTGATTTGCCACCAGTATTAAGGGGAATCTCGTTCAATGTCAAGAACAACGAGAGAATCGGCGTAGTTGGCCGGACGGGCGCAGGAAAGTCGTCTCTGACTCTTGCTCTCTTCCGGTTCTTGGAGGCTCGTTCTGGTAGTGTTTTCATCGACGGGTTGGATATCTCCAAGATTGATCTCCATAGTCTGAGATCTCGTTTGGCCATTATTCCTCAAGTAAGTACCTGTCTGCTGGCTGATCAATTACCAACCACAACTACTAACAATCTCTCAGGATCCCGTGTTGTTCTCTGGCACCATTAGGTCGAACCTTGATCCCTTTGACGACAACACTGACGAGGAGCTCCGTGACTCGCTCGCTCGTGTTCACCTCGTTGATTCTCAGCCCGCAACGCCATCTAACGAGCCCGCCTCGGCAGGAACTTCAACACTGGCTCCGAAAAACGTCAACGTGTTCAGGGATCTGTCAAGTCCCATCTCCGAATCTGGCGGCAACCTCTCACAAGGCCAACGTCAACTTCTATGCCTTGCACGCGCCATCGTAGCAAGGCCCAAGATCATGGTGCTTGACGAAGCCACATCTGCCGTCGACATGGCTACTGATGCTCTCATCCAGCGCAGTATCCGCGAGGAGTTTACCGACAGCACTCTGCTCGTGATTGCGCATCGTCTGAGCACCATTGCCGACTTTGACAGGATTCTTGTCCTCTCTGAAGGCCAGGTCGCCGAATTTGGCACACCCAAGGAGCTTTGGGAGAAGGAGGGTGGTGTTTTCCGTGATATGTGCGAGAGTAGTGGTGAGAAAGAGAAGTTGAGACAGACGATATTTGCTTAACTGAAGAAAAAGATAAAAGGGGAAGCTAGAGATGGAAAAAGTTTACGAGTTTTGATTTGATTTGATTTCTGTTTGAATTATAAGAATAAGTTATATAGCTTTTGTTTGTTAGAATGTTCATGATGAGTATGGAAGCATTCTTCACAAGGGATACGTTGCAACATCATATAGGACTTGGGTCTGATCAAGAAGCGAAGAGTTGAAATTCATATTTAAAGTGTCATTAAGCAATCATATCTCATAGCCAAGCATTTAACCCAATATCTCAATCTTATTTGTCCCAAGTCATATTTCCAAACCGCCCAATTCCAGTATCGACTCCTCCCAAACAAAAACCACGAGAACTTAGTCGCTCTCATCATCTGAATCATCAGCATCGTTCAGGGTGTCCTCAAAGCCCTCGACAGCGCTGGCGTTCTTGATATAGTCACGGAAACCACGGCTCATCTTGACAACAGCACGCATGTGCTTCTCGCTGATGGTGATGCGCTCCGAGTTCTCATCCTGAGCGTCGCTCTCCGCCAGAGCGAGAGCCGTCTGCATGGCATTGCGGATCTCACGGCCGTTCCACTTGAGGGTGCGCACCTCGCGGCTGTTCCAGACAAACTCGCGAGCGGCATTTGACACGTGGATGAGGCCGTTGGAGTCTCGGCTGAGACGGTCAAAGTTATGGGTCCAGATGCGCTCTCGGTCCTCGTTGTTGAGGCTCCTGTAGTGCAGGGCGACGTGGATACGGCTGAGGAACGCATTGTCGAATGACTGGACGCGGTTGGTGGTGAGGAAGAGAACACCGCGGTAGTACTCGAGAGCGCGCAGAAAGACAGAGACGAGACCGTTGCGGGCAATGTCCTTGGATCGACGACGCTCGAGATAGACATCGGCCTCGTCGAGGAGAACGAGGGCGCCGTAACGTTGACCGAGTTCGAGGAAGTAGCTCAGGTTGGACTCGATGTTATAAGAGTCAACGCTGAGGTCACCGCTGGTGAGGGCTATCAGGGGTCGGTTGGTCAACTCAGCGATACACTCTGCGGTGCAAGTCTTTCCAACACCAGGGGCACCGTGGAGGAGGAAGATTCGACCTTCACCCTTGTTCTTGACAAAGTCGTTACCCCAGGGCGAGATCTTGCCAGCGCCGAGGTCAGTCGCAAACTTGCCGATCAGAGCCTTGACAGTCAGCTTGACCTCATCATCAAGGACGAGATACTTGAAGGCATCCTTGTCAGTGTGGAGCTCCTTCAAGTTGGCAAGGTCGAGATGGCCCCAACGACGATCGCCGAGGATGAAGCCTGGGATGGTGTTGCTGCAGACTAGATAGAAGAGATCACTCTCGGGAGGCGAGTCGTGGTTTGGGTCGAGATCCTCAAAGCCAAGGTACTGGCTGTCGTTGCTCTGGCTCGAACGGTCTGCCGAACAAGCCTGGCATCCGCATCGAGGCTCGTTCCTGGGCAGATGGTCCTTGGGAGGAGGGGCAGTTTGGTCAAAGCGAGGAGGAGGGTGGTAGCGGGCCATTCCACGCATGGAATCAGGACCCAGGAAGTAGAAGCTGTCAAAGCCGGCAGCATCACAAATGACACGACCTCGCATGAAGCCCGTAGGTCCTCGAGACTGTCTGTTGGTAGCACCCGAGTTGACGAGCTGACCCTCATAGTCCATGTAGGTAGGACGCTTCAGGAGTTCCCAGTAGAGCTTACCGAGGGCAATGTTCTTCTCCCTCATGGTGAGTCCACCTTGAGCCTCGAGATCCTCGGGCCAGAACTTGGCAGGGATGATGGGAAGGCTGCTAATAGCCTGCTCACCGAGCCAAGGGGAGAGGTTGAAGCTGTACATGTAGCGGTTGACCTTGGTGCCATTGGTCTCGAGCATCCAGCAGGAGATCTTGTAGGCATCGGGAGTGTAGGTGTTCTGGTTGATGCTGACGCTGCTGATGACGTACGGGGTCCAGATGCCGTAACGCTTCGTGTAGATGACCTCGCCAGGCTTGAGGAGAAGCCAGAAGTACTCAAAGGTAGCTCTTGGGATGTCGAGGTTGTGGCGTTCCTCTTCTTGACGGATCTGCTCGCCGAGATTGTCGTCAAGGAACTTGAGGAGGACGTCAATGTGGCTGGCGGTCGTGGCGGCATACTCCGAGTCGTGAGTCAAAGGCTGGTTGTCTCGATATTTGGCCAGCTCTTGGCGGTGGTGGTAGAGAACGCGGTAAGGAGAGCTGATGGTGACAAACTTGCCGTCCAGGTTGATGTAAGGGTAGTAAGACACGACAGCCTTGAGGGCATTGATCAGATGCTGAGAGTGAATGCACATGAAGGGTCGGGCAATGTCTGGAGACGAGGCCTCGAGATCGTGCTCCTCATCCGAGTAGTAGTCATCATAACGATAGTTGACCTGGTCGAATGTCTCGGTGATGGGCCGGTCTTCTTGACCTGGGCCAGCACGAGGGGGGCCACGACGATTTCGCCGGGAGGTTGCCTTTTCGGTAAAGACCTTTGTGATGATCTCAAGAACAGGCTTCTCCTTTGTAGCGCCCTCTTCCTCGTCTTCGACATCACTATCGTCATCGTCTTCGAACTCGGGAACATCCTTGAAAGCCTGAATGCTCTGGCGAGCTGTAGGTTTGTTAGCATGGTGGACTATGAGTGAAGAGGAAGAGAAGACATACTATCAACAACCCTGTCATTCCAGCCAATGTACTTGATGACATGGAGGACATCTGGAACCTTTCCATCAATCTTGAGGACTCCCTTGGAAGCAGGCTTCTTGGTCCTGACGACGACCTTGCGGGAGATGTCCTCGAAGCTGACGATGGAGCTGGTGTCGTCTTGCCCAACAATATCGGGGTGAGGGGCCTCCATGACGGTCATTTAAGATTTGAATCTTGTGTATCAGAGAAACGACTTGGGATAAGATGGTGAGGAGAAGAGATGGAGTGAACAGATGGAGAGGACGAGGTGCTTTACTTTATATGCCTGCGACACCACATGTTACTTGCTCGTCCTAGTAGCTATCAGGAGGCTGAAGGCAGCAGCGGCACGCCAAGCCTCCAATGCCTCTGGGGAACCAAGCTATGTCTCCACGGATCCAACGTCACTGTCCGGGTTTGTGTCGCACCGTGAGTGGTGCAGATTAGGCATCACAGGGCTCCTGCGGCAGTCGAGAATGCACGCCTCACCTCCCCCCTGGTCCATCTAGCGTGAAGCCATATCCACCGACCAATGAGGTTTTACTCTCGCCAATGAGATGCAGCGATCTTTCAGCCCTGCTCCACTTGGGTGCCTGGGGTGTAAGCCATCCTCCTCGCCCAGATGCCGTGTTGATGTTCTGCACCTTGTATCATGGTCTTGTATTGGTGAGATGAAAGAGAAAGTGTAACATCGATGAGAGGAAAGATGCAGGAGATAACTGTAAGAGTATGTGATAATGCACGTATAAGAAAAGCCTGGTTGTGGTCCATTTGTTAGACTAGGCTATGGTAATCGTAAACCGTAAACCACCCTGCGGTGCGCCTAGCCAGACCATCCGGCTAGCTCGTTTCCCCTTGAACGCCTTCAATGCTCGTTTTGATAAACCTCACCGATCAAGCTACTGACATGGCGATAGCATGTGAGCCGATAACACTTCCTTCCCTTTGCCTTAAAGCTCAAGGCTCAGCATGTGCGCACGCAGATCCTCCATCACCACAGTGAGCTTCACTGCAAACTGGCCATCAGTTCCCTTGAGCAGATCCTTATCAATCTTCTCATCGACAAACTTATAAAAGTGACGTCGAAGCTTGCGCTCAACTTCGAGGTCGTCACGCTGAGCTTGAGATCGGGTCAGGCACTCAATGTTGGAGACGTGGTCGACGTCCCACTCGGCCGAAAGGTCATAGTCCCAGGCTTCCTTGAGCTGCTGGCACCCGTGGACGCCGAGGTACTGCCAGAATGGCATGAGAACCTCCTTGAAGCCGTACTGGGCGCCGGTCGTGTCGATGATCCAGCGCTCGTTGACTCCGGGGCATTGCACTGCGACGACGGTGTGGGGGACGGCGATCAGGGGAGCCGGGACGAACTTGACATCGAGAAGAGGCTTTCCCATGTCCAGATCGACGACCTCGAGAGTCGAGACAACCTCTGATCATGACATGTTAGTACTGAAACACCTCGAGGGCGCTGGGTTTGACTTACCAGAGAGGAGCTTGCGGGTCAAGGGGCAAAGCAGAGACATGGCCATGGTGCACTGGCTGTTGAGAAGAGCAGCCTCCTTGTGCTGAACATTGTCGGTGGCACCCTCAGGGAACGGGCCACGCTTGGCTGGAATCTCCATGTCTCGCATCTTCTGATGGATGAAAAGAGTACCATCGCGGAACTCAAGCTTGATCAGCTCCATGTCGAACACGGTCTCTCTGTACGTGAGGAGAGCATGCTTGAGGGTCACGGCAGTTCGGAGGATGACCCTGCGGCGGCGCAGAATGTGGCAGAGGGACTTGTGAACCGGCCAGTGTGCCTTCTGACACTCGCGGTTGCAGTAGACGGTGCCGGAAGCGTCTCCTGGGATGTACTCGGGCACGTTCTGACAACCGCTGCAAAGCATGGTTGCCTCCTTTCCGCAGTGAGCGCATGCAGCCATGTTGGGCGACTAGATGAAACCTGTGTAGTCGAATGAGGTTGCGAATGGAGAGGGGACGCAGATGAAGGTATCGTGCGTCTTGGGAGAAACCAAAGATGGTTGAGGTGAGGGTTGACCAAGTTCGCCTGTAAGATTTCCATTTTAATTCCAACCAACGAGCTAAAGACCTATGAATGGCATCGAAGACCATTGACAAGTGTTTGGTAGATGACTGGGCAAACGAGACTCAATATCACTCGCTATGGTGAATATCAAAAGACTGAGTGAGTAAACAAACGCGCTGTGTTGGTAGTTAGACAACCAGCCTCGAGTCGTGGGATAACGACAGAACAAACACTCGTCAAAGAATAGACAATGCCCGTGTTCGATCGCTTCCAATAATCATTGTTAAACACGAGATGACCATGGTCACCTTATTGAGGCGAATATTCATGGCAGTGACCATGCTATGATACATACTCGACGGCGCCAGTCCTGAGACTCCAAACTGTGTAATAACCCCCCGTGTCATCAAGTCTACTCCAAACAATAGCCCATCAAATAACCATATCACCATTGAATCATGCGCCGGCGGCGGCCCTTGCCCTCGTCGTGACGTTGCTGGCATGTGCAAGCAAGAACTTGCAGCACGTCAATGTCAGCTTGCAAGCCTTGGTCCAGCCGTCATCTTGGGCGATTCCGAGCTTGATGCTCACATCCCCAATCTTGTCGCCGTCAATCTTGTACGGCAAACTAAGCGGATTGCCGGTAGCATCCGTTTGCCTATGCACGAACGCACCCAGCTGTCGCACAAGTTCAAGAAAGGCGACCATGGCGTTATCAAATCGACGGTGCATGAACGTCAGCCCCAGAGGCATATCTCCAGAGCTGTACAGCTCGAGCACGTGCTTCTTAGGCGGCGCATTGACTGTGCGGGTGCCGAGCCGGCTGGACGCAGGGTTGGGCAGTTCGTACCGGATGATCTTTGATGTGCTCCCCATGGGTTGGGGTTCATACCCATCGAACTTGTATCCGAGCTTGTCTGCCACCGTCACCAACAGGAGAAGCGCATGCCCCCAGGCGGCATTGATCTCTGGCCAATCCACCGGCTTATTGGACAATCGGCCAAGACGTAGACCGTTGATGGTAGCAAAGCTGCCGTCGTGGCTGATACAAAATGTGTCGTTATACACATTGGATCGCTGCAGCTTCTCCAACAGCTGCGAGTCGTTGCTGTATTTGGCGTTGATGCTGTCCCTCTCTGACTGAAACTTGGCCATCTTGGTCGTAAAGTCATTGCGATCCCTCCAAAACTGTTCCTCCTCTTTGTCGAGCTCCCGAGCCTCCTCTTCCAGAGCCACGAGCTCCTGGTCCAAGGCATCCTTTTCTGCCTCTAGCTTCTTCAGTTCCAACATGGCACTATCCCTGTCTTGCTCAGCTTTCCGGAGAGATTCTTCTTGTGCCTTGATTTCCTCTTCGGTAGGCTGGTTTGCCTTGGCCTCTTTCAGATGCTTCACGTATCCATCTCTTTCGCGCGACGCCGCCTCCAGCTTCTTCTGCATGCCCTCGACGAGCATATCTGCGCACTCGACGCATATTGGGTGGTCGATATCGGATCGCCCAGATAGAATTTCGAAGAGGCGGTTTATTCTCCCCATTTCGTTGCCCATAGGCGCATCCTGATCGTCCGCAGTGCCCCTGATAGAGCTTGCGCGTCGTAGTTTAGGAGGTGTCGAGGGTCGGTCGGTTCCCTGGCTTGGCGGGTTTGTGACTTGCGACTCGGTCAAGTAGATGAAGGACATGGAGGAATCGCGGGGATGGCCACCATGGCTGCGCTTGAAAGTCGGTGGCCCCGTGTTTCGTGATATCCTGTCGTAGAGGGACTTGCGCGCTTGGTCCTGTGGTTGTGTCGTCGAGGAGGAGGTTGCGGTGGCCTTCTTAGGCGTTTCTGGTGAGGTGGAGGCTAAAACACAATATTAGGTGAGTGCCCAATATTCGCGATGAGACGAAAGAGGCGACACTTACAGACGAGGAGATCGTAGGCGGCAGGGTTGAGGTCTTCGAGAGAGCCATCCAGCCTGAGAGGCTGACGGCATTTCTGGCAATTCATGTCGGGCTTAATGGCTGCGCATAGCTCTGAGTGCTCAAGATCCCAACTAGAAGAGGCGTAGACGATAAAAAAGGTGGATATGGCAAGTTACAGAAATACTGTAGTGACAGATATGGATTGGGGATGATTGTGTTAATGTCAAAGTGGAGGGTCCCAGCGGTAGGTGACGTTGTGATTCAGGCAGGACAGTCAGCCAGGAGCTACCACAGATGGCACCTGACTACATGGTACATCCCTACTGTATGACAGACAAATGCTAAGGTAACCTGAGACAGTTTTCTACTCTTAAGTATGATTGAGATAAGAAGCTTTGCCTGAAATTCAAGTTTGGCAAACAAATAAATGCTTGCTTGGATACATTCATAGCTCTAGACGAATCTTGGTGTCGCAACATCATGTCACCCCTCCATCTTTCAAGCAAGGCTACAGGGGTTAGCTCACTGAAGCCCTTGGGATGAACCCCGCCAAATGGACCTACAAAGAGAAATCAATTTACGCGCTGCATGGGCCCAAAGCGCGTCGTGACACGTTCAAGCCCCTCTAGTTGCTCCTCCAACCATCCATCGCTTATCCAAAGAATGCAAGCAGGAGCGAACAAGCGCATGTGCACCTTCTATGTTGCGCTCAAAGGGAGTGACATCCACACCCACCAGAAAACGAAAGACTTCACATCATCGTCATCAAGATGGAACCTCCAGCAAAAAGACGACGCAAAGGCCCTTCACCCCCAACACTCGGCCAAAATGACGACGAAGACGACGAACTCGCCTCCCACCCGCAGGAGATTACTGTTCGACGGGACCCCGATATCCAGTTTGCGCTGAAACGAGCCAATGCCAACCACAAGCTTCAAGCCACCATGGCGCACATTATTGAAAAGTACAGCCGCGATTTCGAGGGAGTTGGTGACGAGATCGACATGGAGACGGGGGAAATTGTGGTGAACAACGGTCACTTGCGCAACATGCGCGATGAGGGAGACGTCGAAGGGCTTTGGTTGGATGGTGATGGCAATGCCGAAGAGGGCGAAGGGATTTTGCTTGAGGACCTGACAGACGAATATTCCGATAACCAAGATGAAGTGGTCGAACCTCGAAACCCGGAAGCAGACGACAACCAGAATTCGAGTACCAGGGAACAAGATCCAAATGTCACATCAAATCCCAGTGATATGGAAAAAGAATCAGACTCTATTCCTACGCCGACCAGCAATGAAAAAGAAAAAAGTACCGAAAACCAAGACGAGCGATTGCCCGAAACCCGCGGCTGTACAGACAACGAGCCCGGCGCCCCCCCTCATGGATTTCCTCCTGCACCTTTTGGGCCCGGTGCTCCTCACGGCTATGGCGCACCACCTGGGCCGTTTGGGCCGTGGTCTATCATGCCTGGATTTCCCATGAATCCTTGGGGTCGTGATGACATCCCCCCTTATTACAACATGCCCCCAAGCATGCCTGGCCCCTGGTTCAACGGAGGAAGATATGAGTTTCCTACAAACGATGGACAGACTTCTATCTGGGGACGCAAATGGGTCAAGAAAACAAAACGGGCTGGTTTCATGAAAAGGTCCTCGAAAGGCCATGCCGAGTCGAGTAAGAACACCGGCGATGATGCGGCAGACGAGGAAACGGGTGGTGATGGTGGTAATGACAAGGAAAACTCGGGGGAGCAACAACCAGAAACTCAAGACGCTTTGGCAAATGATCGGATAATCAGTGCCAGTGACGAAGACGACGACTTGATATTCTCCGGGACAACTAGCTCTCCTCCTGCTACGACGCGCAGCTCTATCCCTTCAAAGGACAAAGAAGCGGCAGAAGAACCCACCAAAACAAAGCCTGTGGAAAAGGCCCTCGAGGAGACGGCAGGGAACGCCATTAAAGTACCTTCACGCGACCACGAGCAAGATGACGGAAATCGCAGACGCTCCGGCCGAGCTAGGAAACAAGTGGAATACATGGGCAAGATTTCCTGGGCCGAAGCGAAGGAGTGGCGAAATTCTGGTCAGAGCTTGAGTGTTGAGCTTCGCAGAGTCGATCGTGCGAGCCGGCAAGACTTTCAAAGTGTCGATAATACTGATGATGAGAGTCTTCCGGCCCAAAAGGCGGCACCACAAAGTCCAACAAAGGGGTCTCAGAGAGAAATGGACAAGGCTGTTCAGAGACAAGTCATCCCAGATTCTCAAGACACGGCAACACCATTCAACAGCAGTGCTCCTCAACCGTCACAGCCAACTTCGCAACCGCCAACTTCACAGCCACCAGCTTCACAACCACAAGCCTCACAATCGCAAGCTTCACAACCGCAAGTTTCTCAGCCTCAAGCTTCGCAACCCGCAGACAAACAAGATAACCTGGGAACTCTCAATCATGACACCATGCCCAGTATGGTTCTCTCCGATGACGAGGCACCGCTCGTGCTATCGAGAGTCATGGTGCCTAAACCACGCGCCACGCCTTCAAAACCTGTTTCTCAGCTGGCGAGTGTTCAGGAAGAACATGAAGACTCAACAGACAAGGACAGCATCCCTAAGGTCGGCCATGGTCAAGGGACCAACGATAATGAGGCCCCTGAAGCTGAACCTATGGAAGTTACCCAAGACGAGGCCAAAGACGCGACCAGGCCAGAGATACTTGCCCAGCCCCTAAAACGAAAACGAGGCAGACCCAGAAAATCCGAAGTGCCAATCGAAACCACAATCATGGTTTCGCTGGCTAGCGCCCCTGCCCACCTGAAGGGCAAGCCCGGTAGACCTAGACAATCGGAATATTCGCCTGAGATGACCCCTCCACCTCCGAGGCGCAAGCGCGGCAGACCAAGAAAGTCGAGTACTGCCACGCGTGAGGTCGACACTGAAATGGAGACTGACGAGCCCCAAGCTCTCCGGCAAGAGATCTCGGCTGGGGTTGACGTTGAGATGGAGGGAATGGAAGTGGCCGAGAAACCCGGTCGCATGTCTCGAGAACTCAGATGGCTCGAAAAGAAGAAACCAAAGGGTGTTTCTGACCTCGAAGCTCAAGGGGTGACGTCGGAAAAGCGTCTTAGGTCTCAAGGATCAAAAGAAACACTGCAGCCAAACGATGTCAACGTGGAGGAATCACAAGGACTCAACGAGGAACCCGAAACAATCCCTAGCAGCAGTCCACCTTCACCAGCAAGAGCTACCTCCTTGCCAAAGGCTATCCCTGCAGAAGACGCGGCACCCCCAGCCAAATCGACTTCTTCAGCAAACCCCCTTTCCTTGCCAAAGGTTGATTCAGGGGTTGTCTCCCCGGAAGAGCCTACGTCTCCTCCACAAGTTACACCTGCAGCAAAGACTACGTCTCAGACAGGTGTTCCTTCTTCATCAAATGCCGCCTCTCTTCTGAAAGCTGCTTCCGATTCAAAGGCCATCTCACGTCCAAACGCTGTCCCTTCAGAAGATACCACCTCCTCGCCAAAAGCTGCCTCTCCACCAACATCTAACTTGACTTTAGAGGCTGTTTCTCCAAGGATTGCCCAGCCTTTCTCTTCCCCAAGAGCAGTTTCGCCTTCCCCTACTGAAGCTATTCATCCAGCCCAAGACCATCAACCTCCCTTGAGTACACCTCAGGATCCCACCATCCAACCAGCATCAACCCCTAAGAGGAACAAGGACAGGGTCATCCATCCCGCCGGAACGCCATCCAACTCTTCTAAACCTCACACTCCCCGTCACACTGCCATCCGAACGACTCGGGCGCCCTCCTCCCGCCGCTCCCTTCTCTCCTTTGTATCTGACTCCGAATCTGACTCGGACCGTTCTCGAGACGAGCTGGCCCGCAAAGTTAGGCTGAGCTCTCACAAGAAGAGCGCCCGTCCATCTACGCACAAGATCTGGAAGTCCACTTCTCTAACCACAGAGTTGCATCGAACGCCGAGCAGAAAACGCCGTAATGAACCCCCTACTCCTGTCAAGACGCCTGGCGGCACGTTGAGGACTTGCGGAGTAGATGGATACAGATGCGGGCGTGAATTCTGCTTTACTTGCTTACCTGTATGAGACGGGACGTCATTCACGGGGTCACTTCAGATAGCCAAGTGTAGATAGTGGCAATGCATAGATGAACTCATCAATACAGGCACTTTGAATGCTTGCTGGATTATGACGCTACCGCATAAAGACTGACCATGATAAAAAACAAATTGTTCCGAGTCGAAGCCAGAAAGGCCATGTCCGTTAACAATTAGATATGCACCAACCCTCCCTCCGTCCCAATGTGCCAGAACCGCCCAGACCCTGGAACGCCAAAACCTCGTTGTCTCGTCCACATCGCCCCCCCTTGCCAGAAAGTCATTCTTCCAAACTGAGGATTTCTCCAACCCGAGACTGCCCACACTGAACAACACATATCCCTCGTCCCAGATCCAATTCGTTGTCACGTCAAATTCTGAGATGCCATGCGGTGGGATACCTCACGGACCCCCTGGCCTCAGCCAAGAACCGGGCCATTCACTGTCACAGAGGGGATAGGATGGGGGAAGGAACAGTTGACAAGTTGTTTTTCCTAGTATGAACATCCTATCAGGGGTGAAGGCCGACAAGGTTAAAACCGCCGGTCCGGGGTATCATGGGTGAGGGGGGTGACGCCAGGTTGACCACCGTGAATGATGATTATCGGGGACAAAAAGAGCCGAGGCTCTCAGGGCTTGTTGGCATTGCCGTTGGCAGCCGCAAGGTGTTGCTTGAAGACCTCGGGGTCACGAACGGGGTTGAAGTAAGGGTGGGCCTGTGCCTCCTTGGCAGTGAGCCGTTCCTATTTACGAGTTAGAGAATGCTATTCACAAACTGGGAGTTTGGACAAACCTGATGGTCATATCGCAGCAGCTTATCAAGGAAATCAATAGCTTCGTTCGAGACAAAGCGCTGGTTCTCCGAGGTGACAAAACTGTGCCAGGGCTTCTTCTGGAAGCGGCCCAGGATATCATCGTACTGAGTGTCGAGCTCAATCTCGTACTTGTCGATGTAGTCAAACAGATCATCGGTGCCAAGAACCTTGGCGATCTTGACGAGCTGGTCTGAGTTGCTGTTGCCGTGGAAGAACGGCTCCTTGCGGAAGATCATCGAGGCAAACATGGCTCCCAAGCTCCACATGTCGAGGCTGTAGTCGTACTCCTGGAAATCGACCAAAAGCTCGGGACCCTTGAAGTAGCGGGAGGCAACTCGGACGTTGTATTCGGTACCGGGGTGGTAGAACTCGGCCAAACCCCAATCAATAAGACGTAGCTGTGGTCAGGTCAGCGGTGTGTTTTGGAAGGGCAGCAGGTGGCGTGACCAACTTTGCGATTCTCATGATCGATCATAACGTTATGAGGCTTCACATCTCTGTGCATGATTCCCTTGCTGTGGCAGAAGTCGAGAGCCTTGAGCAGCTCAAAGATGTAGTAACGAACATCGATGTCGTTGAACTTGGGGTACAGGCTTCGGAAATCGGTGTTGTTGACATGCTCGAAGATGAGAGACGGGGTCTTACTCTGGAGTTGCGACTGCGGTTAGTGTCTCTTCTAGACTGTTAATAACACAGAGTACCAACCTGCGAATCCCTCACGACATCGAGAAGGGCCACGACGTTGGGGCCGCCAGCAAGATTCTGCAGAATCTTGATCTCTCGCTTAATCTTCTTCTTCTTGACGGGCTTCAGGACCTTGACGACGCATTTCTGGTAGTTGACAACGTTGATGCCCTCAAAAACCTCTGAATATTTTCCTCGGCCTACAAACAACCTAGGGTTAATGACTCGGACGGTCGCGGACGAGGGATGGGAGGTACATACCGATCTTGCGGACAACCTCGTAGTTCTCCAGGACACCCCAGCCTGTCGAAATTTTGTCAGCTGCGTTGTCAAGCGGGATCGCAAAAGCAGGATGAGCATACTGATATTAACGCCGTCGTAGTCCCAGTAGCTGCGGGGCATATTCTGGTTGACATCGGCGTAGACGCGCGCCATGATGGGCAGAAGTGAGGGGGCGTCGCGAACCGACGACGCACGCAAACGGGGAAGACAGGGAGGGTATTGACCAAGAGGCGACAAAAGTCGAAAACCAGGAGAGAAAGGCCTGGGTATATAATTCGAGTGGAGGAGTCAAGCCTCGGCCTTTCACCTTGGTCTGGGCGAAGCGAGTTGGGAAAGGCTGGACTCGACTGGACTGGACGGGAGCTGAAGGATGGAGTGGAGGGTTTGCAAACCTGAATCAAGGTCAAGCACGGAAGGCAGGTGCAGGTGGGATGGTCCTGTCCCCGGGCGGGCTTCTGACGAGTCTAGCCCGAACCGGCCCCACACTTGGCGGGCGGGCTTGTTGGTAATTGGTCATTGCGCTTATCGGCTGCTCCGATAAGGCATTTGGTAGAGGAAATGCTGCTGCTGTTGGTGGCACGAGCACCCCCAGCCTCCAACCAAACAACCGTGCTTTGAGCATGTGCTCTCTATGAGCAGCGACATCATGAGCATTGGAATTCTGACAATGTTAAACGGTATGCTATTAATCAAAATGGTAATTTATGCAGTGTAACCAAATAGTCACATATCAGGTGGGACTTTATATGGCCGGAATGAGTTGTGTATTAGGTACATAGGCACTCTGTTTACATCTACAGGTACTTGGCCGTTCTTCCTCATTCCTTACACCAGTGAAAAGAAGATCCTGTCTTGTTTCAACGACTCAATTCACCCAGGTATCTAATTAAAAGTGAATCTCAAGACCCAGCTCATACATGAGTTCTCGGTCCTGCCGTCATTCACCCCGGATTTGAAGTGAGCTAATGCGAACACCATATGGTGACATCCCTGGCCAATAACCACAGTCAGCAGCTTGAAACCATGAATCATGTTGCAAAAGTGACCAAATAAACATCTCGCATCTCAGAGAGAAGATTAAGTGTTCGACATGTCAGGGCTGCAAAGACGTCGGCATCAGCCGAAGCCGATACTTCATACGTCTCCAGCCCCGATCCGACTAAGGATGACGATACAAAGGTTTTCATCATGATGCGATTAGACAAAGTGAAAAGGGAAATAGTGCTTACCGGGTGTTGTCAAGGTGTGCTTGCATCGCACAAAGCGAGGCCTCTGGCCTATCGCTGACCCTCTTCCAGGGCCTCTCCCAAGAACCGTCCATACAGTCCAAGGCTCAGTTCAGTCGTAGTCAAGTGAGTCTAATCCTTTGTCGACAATATCCCAGGTGCGTTTTCGCAGATCCGGCTTTGGCTCAGGCCGCCCGCGTTTGAGCCCCTTCTTCTTCTTTCGCTTCTTATTGCTTTGGAAAGAAGTTGGCAGCGCAGACGAGGTTGCTTCAGTTGGAGTAGGTGCAGGACTGTCATCGCTCAAGTCCATCTGCTCATCCGAGGACCCAGCTATCTTAGTGTCGGACTCCTTCGCTTGCTTCTTGCGGAGAGCTTCCAGCTCAGAATGTCGAAAGATTTCGATTTGCTCGTCTGTCAAGGTGCGCTTCACGCCATCCGGATAGTAACCCAAACCATCGTCTTCCTCTTCCCACGCATCGTAGTCCATGTCATCTTGGATGTGCTGCTGGTCTGGGGGGGTTATGAAGGTTGTCCCAAAGGAAGTGATGGCAGCTTGTGAGAAGTGTGCCTCATGGAAGGCAAACAAGTCATCCTGGAGATGTCAGCTAGATTCATCAGATTAATTCGAAAGAACAGCATACCTTGGAGACGTTCGGCACTCCATACTCAGCTTCTGCGCTCACATTACGTTGTTGGGTCATGTCTTTGTTTTCATGGACGCGACGCCTAAAAATGAGGTTCGCGGTTTGACGAGATTGAGGTTGGCGGAAGACGCGTCCAGACTTGGAATTACGTCACGTGCCAACCACCAAGAGCACCCATGGAGGTGAGCTCCCAGAAAGTGGCCTGGGAGGGCCATTCCCGCCTCAAAGCAGGTACCAAAGTAAGGAGTATGTGTCCTTCATGGTAAAGAAAGCCCAGAAACTGCCAGATACGCTCAAGGTGAATTGGCCACGGTCGCCTTTCCCCAAAAATCAGAGTGCATGCACGCAGCAAAGCCTACTGTGATTTGAGGAGAGCCAAGGCATTTTCAAAGGCGCGCACAACCTGATCATCTAGAAATGTGTTAAAACATGCAGAATTTATCAGTAACGATCGGAACTTACAGTGCTCCTGCTTCCGTTCCATCCTGTCTTCTGATAGATTCACAAAGCGTCTTCGCGTTTGGAGACGCTTAGCGGCACGCTCATCATCATGAGCCGAAGCTGCAGAAGCCCAAACTTTGAAATACTTTCTGCGCATCAGTGACTGGATGTACCTCAAAAGGGTAATGGAATTACCTTGGAGAGGGCCTCGGCCTCTTTCAAGATTTCGCGCTCATGCTCGTCGGCGTCGCGCAGGGCGCTCTCATAACGCGCCTCAAACTCATCCCAGTCAAAGGGGTCAAGAACGCCGGGGGTATCTGGAGGATCCGAGTTCGCTGCCTGCTGATCTCCATGAGGCTCTGGTGTCTTGCTGGCGGCGTAAGGACGCCTTTGTGAATTGGACATGGCAGCGACGTCCTGAGAGTCAGAAGGGCTTCTTTGTCCGTCCTCAAGGGGAGGGTTCTCGTCAACGGGCTGCGTTGGGGGAGATGGAGACATGTTGCACAAGGCTGTGTCGCGTTAAACTGTCAGGGTTGTTGTCGGCCAAGCAACCAGGATCGTGGATGGGGACGTGCAATGTCCTACATCCAATGGTTGAGTGCGTGGGTTGTAGATTCGGAACAGCGAGTCCCTGAAGGCACGTTCAACAGTGTTGCACAGCCTCGACCAAGATCGTGACTTGAGGTTTCAACACGTCCCAATGAAGTGATGATGTGCCACTGAACATGTGCGATGATCAAGTTGATGGATGAATAAAGACCAAGATCATGTTCACGAATGGTGACTGTTGAGCCTCGCAGCGGCTGAACAACCCGGGACGGAAGGTACCTGCTCACTAATATAAAAGCATCACCCCTGCATCTCGTTGCCTTGTGGCTTGCAGCTAATGCGCCACACTCAGCACAGTACACTACTCACCTCGCCGACGACCTCGTGACTCGGCCAGAACCTCGAAGAACAAAAGTCATCTGCCATTAACCACTGATTAACCCTCAGTTGACGTATAAATATACGCATTCGCCATTTACTCCAGATCCGCCACCGGAAAGGCCAGGCGTAACCTTCATCTGCAGTATCCTCAGACCAAAGGAAATCAGCCGCGACCCTCCAGCAGGTGGCGAAGCAGCCAAGATCAAGATGGACTGTGATATCTGCCATCGCAAGCATGACGCCAAGCGATTGCCGTTTCTCTGCACCGTCGACGCCCGGAACTCGCTGTTTGAGGACCGCCTGAAGAATGTGCAGCTGCTCATTGAAAATGAAGGCCTCCAGAAGGAGATCAGCGCCTTGTTGTCGGAGCCCTCGACAACCCCGACAAAGAACCGCAAGGACTCGATGCAAGCGCAGCAGCGGATGGCCGAGGATAGGACGACCCAGATTTTGGCCGCCGCCGATAAGTTTAGGGACGACATAAGAGCCGCCAGGGCCGAGATCGAAGCCAGGAAGGCCGCCCTGTCCAGCCGCAGATCTGACTTTGCCGCTGCGTCTGATGGCCTCTCTGATCGCAGAGCGAAGCAGCAGAAGGAGGTGGAAAAGTCCATCAGCATGATTAACTACCGGTGGACCCGATCAGCCGAAGACATGGCTCGTACCAGATCCTTTCTTTGTATGGAGGCGGCCACACTGTATGGACTCGACCGAGTCGAGAAGGGATCCCCCGGACGATACGAGTATCAGCTCGGTGGTATTCCCATCATCGAGCTGATTGGAATGAATTGTGAGAACCCTGACTCTTCTTCCAGAAGTAAAGCTAACACCCTCATGGCATCAACGCCGGAAATGATCTCGACCTCTCTAGGTCACATTTGCCATATCCTCATGCTTGCATCTCACTATCTCGCAATCCGCCTCCCTGCACCCATCACACTACCTCATCGCGACTATCCTCGGCCAACCATTTTCAACCTGGCTAGCTCCTATAGAAAGGGAGATCCAGTGTTTCCTAGCCAAACAGGAGCCGCCACTCCTAACTCTTCCGCAGGAGATGCGGACTCTCAGCATGTTTCGCGCCCGAGACCCCTTTTCATCGACAAACCTTTGTCGCAACTAATCAAGGAGGATCCAGCCACCTACTCTTACTTTATAGAAGGCGTAACTCTTCTGGCCTACAATATCGCATGGGCCTGTAGCACTCAAGGAGTGCCAGTCGGCGAAAAAGGCTCATTCGAGGACATCTGCAACATGGGCCGTAACTTGTACAACCTTCTGATCAACCAGCAGTCCACAGGCGCCGATGGCAAACCCACTCACCTGGGGCAGTTTTCCCACGGGACGGCCTACAACTTTCTCTCAGCAGCTGAGGGGACTGAACTTGCTAAGAACTTCAAGTTGCCCAACCCGATCAAACTCGCCGACAAGCTTAAGAAGAAGCTGCTCAGCGAAGCACCTACGCCGGACTGGGAGGTCCTGGATGATGACGCCTGGAAGGTTGAGGAGACCCCAGTGGACAAGCCATCTGAGGACAAGAGTTCTCCTCGTCGAGGCTCGAGTGGATGGATGAAGGTGAAAAATAGATGAGTAGAGGTATATATATCACGGGTCGTTGCACGATCATGATCAAGACCAGCTCAAGTTGGCGACAACAACAACAATAGACTTTTAATCCAGACAACTCGACTGTAAACCAAACTCCTTGAACTCGAACAAGTGACATCGCACACATTATACATGAAGACCTTTTGTCTTTTCCTTCAAAACCTGGTATCCTTTCAAAACATGATATCCCTTCAAAACTTCATATCTCTTCACAACCTCATCCATATCTCTTCATAATTTCATCAATATCTCTTCACAACTTCATCCATCTCTCTTCACAACTTCATCAATCTCTCTTCACAACTTCATCCATCTCTCTTCACAACTTCATCCACATCTCTTCGCAACTTCATCATTTCGTCGGGGTTGACTTCTTGGAGTGGAAGAGCTGAGGCTTCTTCCCCTTCCTTGCCTGTATGCGTCGAAGTGTCCTCTGGAGCTCTGCCTCTTGGAGGTCTTTGGGAGTTCCGGCGGGGGTAGAATCGCGTCGAACAGGTGTCTGAATCGGCGTCATCTCCTCTGGTGATTCAGTCATGAGGGTTTCTGAGAGTATAGATCCCTTTCGGGGGGGGCCTTTTGGTGTAGGGGAGGAAGCAGCCGTGTCCTGCTGCTGTCGAGGAGAAGGTGTAGGGGTCGGCGTGTTGGTGGTTATGTTGCCTCCTGGGAGGTTCAAGCCGCCCATCTGAATGGCCGGAACAGTCTCTTGCTGAATCACGGCGGGGGAAGCAGCTGTGTCCTGCTGCTGTCGAGGAGAAGGTGTAGGGGTCGGCGTGTTGGTGGTTATGTTGCCTCCTGGGAGGCTCAAGCTGCCTATCTGGCTAGCTGGGATATGCGCAGGCTCGTTCGCCGCGGTGGTAGAAGCAGCTGTGTCCTGCTGAGGTTGAGAAGAAGGTTTAGGGGTCGGCGCGGTGGTGATAGTGTCCTTGGTTCTGCGAGATCTGGGCTTCAAGATGTGTCGCTTCGCCATCTCTGCCTGGCTTGCTTCCTGGGGTTGGTCAGGAGGGGAAATGTGTATGACTGTTTCGGGGTCACTGCTGTCGTCGTTCTCTTCGAACGCTGCGATCAGGTCTCTCTCGAGCTCGTCAAGCTCATCTTGTGACTGGTCGGTCTCTTCAGGCTGGAGATCCGACTGGGCGACGTCTGGTACGGTCGCAGGTGAGGTAAGGGGGGAGAAAGCGGGTTGAGGGTGTGAAGTCTCGGGCCCAGTGACCCATGCTGTCGTCGTCGCGGCGGAAGTGGTTGATGGAGTGAGAGCCATCGGTGGTTCAGGGAGAGCTTCGACATCTCCCATGAGAATGTCGGAACTCTCCTCACCCTCCCAGTCCATCTCAGATGAGAGGATAGGGAGGGGACCAGCATCTCCGGAGTCGTCACCACTGACGATCTCCATCTCTGATGCCAGCTGATCCTGACCGATGGTACTCTCCTCGGGATCTTGGTCAAGATCCATGAGGTCGCTTGTCGAGCGAACCTCGGCGGAGTCGCGCAGACTCATCTCTCCTAGAACCGAACCGAGAAGGTCCCCGAGGGCCATGCTGTCGTCGTTGTCGTCCTGCAAACCAGAAAGATCCTGGTTGGTGGTGGTGGTGGTAGTGGCCGGAGCCACAGGCAGGAAGGACAGGTCGGCGGCGTTGAAGTCGGAGGGAGGAGGGGAAGAGTTGAACCACTCTTCAAAGTCATCAAAGTCCTCGGGTCTCTTGAAGGACGAGCTGGTGGTGTCCGGAGCATCCTGGACGGGGGGGATGGGGTCGGCGACGGCGGCGGTGGCCTGCTCCAGGACTTGCTCGCCTTCTCGAGTCGAGGACTCCGATGACTTCGAAGGGGTCTCGTCGACCCTTCCTCCAGCGGGAGCGGGAGAGTCAGACAGCCCTCCTGGACGACTTCGCCCCAAACGCCTCGTTGCCTTCACATGGCTACGAGGGCGACGACCTTGGAGGTTGGTCGACACCCTCGTCTCGAACAGCGTTCTCGTAGACGGAGACGAGACATGCTGTCGAGACGCCGATGATCTGGGCGCGGAGGGTCTGGGGGAAGCCGACACAGGCGGCTCTGGCCTCTCGGAGGGCTCTTCGTCGGTCGGCGGCTTGACCATGGGAGACTCTGGAGCAGGAGTGGGAGTCGGTCTCGAAGGTTGAGGATCCCTTGCGGGAGATGAAGCGGCCTTCTCCTGTGGCTTGGAAGCAGGGGCCTTGTGCTGCTTCTCCTCGGTCATTGAGTCCGTCTGAACACCGTTTGAGGTATACCTCGATGAGGTTGCCTCGCCCGATGCTCGCTCCCCGGGAAGATCTCGAGGCTCCGTCTGGGTACCGCGGCTGTAAAACGCGGTGACCTTTCGAGAACCCTTCGACCTAGGGTCCTGCACCTTGACCCTGGCGAGTTCGAGCTCGGGTTCAGGCTCCGGAACTCGAGGACGCCAACGACGGTCAGATCGACGAAAGATGGCCGCCAGACCGGCCCAAGCAGCGTCGGGGTCATAACCCCTTCGCTGCTGGTTCTGTCTGGCAGCCTCGTCGCGTCGTCGCTCCTCAAGGTCCTTCTGCCTTACTGCCTCCCTCTCCCTCACCTCCCGTTCCTGTTCCCGCATCGCCAACTCGTTCTCTCGTGTGGCTTGCTCCTCACTCTCCCTCCTGCGACGCCTCTCCCGGTCCTCGGCGAGGAGCTTCTTAAAGAAGGCTTCCCCATCCGTGTCCCTGGGATCGGCGTCGAGGTTCACCTCACCCGGCTCTGGAAACAGAATCTCCAGGTCCATGCAGCGGTAGGCATAGTCTCTTGCGAGAACTATGCCGTCCCGGATGGTTCCGGGGAGGTGGTACGCCGAAAACAAAATGTTTGGCGAGGAAAGGAGGAGCCAGAGCTGCCAGCAATCGGCAAAGAAAGGCTCTGTCTGCGACCTCAGACGTGAGTAGTCGCTCTGCCAGATCCAGGGGATCAGGTAGAGGGCCGCCGCCGTGACGGACTGCAGGAGCACCACGGTCCTGGAGGCGTTGATCAACCTCTGGAAGTGGTACAGCATCAGCAACCACCACAGGAACCGCGGGCTCACCGCAAAAGCCCAGAAAGCCAGTCGGAGAAGCGCGAGTGGGAGCGTGTCGTACTCCGGGTCGAAGCACTCGTGCATGTTGAAGATCGAGTCCCATTCACACCCCTCTCGGAGGGGAAGCCACATGGGAAGATCTTCAGGGCGCATCTTGTTGTTGGACATTTTTCTGTATATATCTAGTCAGCGTCAAATCTGGTGAAGGTAGCATCGCTATATAGTTAAAGGGGTATATAAAGGTGTGCGAGTGTGTATATAAAGCTGCGATACTCGTCACTTACTCTGGTCTCGGGGATGCGTCGTGTTTTTAAATGATCGCGACTGCTGCTGATGAGAGAAGAAGAAGGAGAAAGAGGGGAAGCAGAGATTGTTTTCATTCTTTATTGTTGTGCGTGGTAAAACTGGCGAGCAGTGATTGACACTGGCAACCAAGTGCCAGGCCGGTCGTCTACTCAGAGAAGGCATCGTCGGTTGCTGCCAGTGCCAGACCAGTTTAGAACAAAGATAACGATAAGACATTGCGTTGTCGCTGGTATTGGCCTGGCTTGATCGGTATTGAGATCAAGTTCGTGTCTCCGTTGGCCATGAGGCATCGAGTCATCGTGATGTTATTTGCTAGTGGTGTTGCAACTACATGAACAGTTTCCTTTCACGCAATCAAGACTTATTTTTGGCAAGTACAGATTGTTCATTCACAGTATATACAATGCAGGATGATGTTGTGTCGAACAAAGTCTTTGCTTAACAAGCACCCAACAAAGGGGTTGTGTTTGTTCCCTCAGCACCCATATATCGTCCAAACCCAGCACACAAACCAAGGTATCTCTGATCCAAGCAACGCCAATACCTCCCATCACGTGTTCCCAGTCCCGTCATCACTCATTATCCTTGACTAATTCAGCCATGATTCACTTCCTGCCCCGAGCAATCAACCTCGCATGCAGTTCGACCATTACATTGCTCCATTCCTCCCCAGCACCAACAACCTTGCCGACCCTTGTACCAAGGAACTCAGCCACCTTTGATACGTTGAAGTGTTCACCATACAAAACCTTAGCCTCAGGGGTAACAGCTACATCCAGTCCTTCAGGGCCACTTTGGCCCAGCAGGTTCAACTTGACCTCCACCCGAGTTTCCAGCGGTACGAGCAGTAGAGAAGTCGTAATCGCCACGCTTGAGTCAGATGTCTTTTGCACGGTGGTCGGGAACGAGGCATTCATACGGCCAACTTGTGTCGAGACCAGGTTGGCCTTGTCCCAAGCTGCTCGCACCATATTCAAGAGATGGGAAACCTCGGTTCGGCTCTGGGGGAGAGCACGAACATGATCTCGAATACACTGCAAGAAGAACTCCTTCTCTGCTGTCTTGGGAAGCGGGTTCTTCTCACGGCTGTCGGCAATGTACCACAGGTCGATTGTCGAGTTCGGTCGATGTGTCTTGAACGAGGCCATGTCAAAGACAATCTCGATTTCACGCTTGTAGGCCATGGAAAGGACTGTGCCCGAGATTCCAGTCACGGCCCAGCCTTGTTCTTTCTCGATAGCGTCCACACGAGCTGATGGGTGTTAGTTACTGAACAACACAACAAGATTTTCGAAGAGGGGCACATACCTTTAAGGCTGTTAACCTCGGTGCTCGTCCAACCACGACACTCCTCTCTGATCTTCTCAGACTCCTTAATATCCTCGAGGCACTTTTGTTTCCGTGCCACCAAATCCTCTATTTCGACTTCCGAAGCTTGGAATTGCTCCCGAAGATCCGCGATACGCTTCCTCTTAAGCTCAATATCTTGGTCAAGGTCCGACAACTCCTCACGAGCAGCCTCAAGATCAGCCGGGTCGCAATCAGCCAGTTCTCGGGCCACTTCCTCAAGGTTACCACTCTCCTCTACGAGGGACTGGTACCGAGCCATAATGGCGGGCAGGACAGAGTCGAGGAGGCTCTTTTGCTGGTCCAAAGACTCCTTGTCCACTTCCATACCCTCGTCAATCCTCAGCAGACCCTCCTTCAGCCCATCCTGCAGCTTCATTCGCCATTCATACCACATGGCCTTGCTCAGAAGGCGGGCGTGGTTCTTGACATTCATGAATTGCTTGTCCATAAGAGTCTTGATCTCGGGTGTCGCCGCCATGTACTCTTTGAATAGTGGCGGGTTCTCCTCAAACGTGTCCATCTCGATTTCCTTGACGATACGTCGACCTTCAGAGATGTACTTCTTCAGCTCCCGGCAAGAGTGTTGATACAACTCAAGCATTGGCACTGTACAGGCACCAGCAACAACACAACGCTCCAGCGAAAGGTTCTCCTCGCCTTGCTCGAGGAACCCGTTGTCAAGGTTTCCGGGAGCTGTCGTGTGTCGCCTCTTGGTGGTTGTCAGCTCCATGAAGCGAATCGACGTCATGTTGAGGAAGTCCTGAAGGTGGATTCGCTCTTCGTCGTCGTCGACCTCGTTCTCGAGTTGCCCGGCATCTTTCACAGGTGATTCGTCAAAGTTGACCGAGTGTCCAGTCCGATCGTCATCGACATCCTTGAATCTTCCTTGGTGTCTTGGTGTCGTTGCCGGCTCCTGTCTCTCGGGCGAGGACAACGTCGGGGTGGCGCTATTGGGTTGTAGGCTCTTTCGGAATGACAGCGTGAGCTTTCCGGTCGTCTCAGCCTTGGGAGGGTGCTGGAGCCGGACGTTTTTGACGGGACTGCCTTGATGACCCTTGAGTCTCTTGACACCATCGTTCTCCTCCTCCTCGTCATCATCCAGCTCGCTAGGTCGCTTTCCAAGGAGTCCTCTGGCGCTTCCAACGGCAAGACTCTTGCGGCCCCTGAGCGGGTTTCGCTTCGGACTAAGGCTGTCAATCATTTCGCGAAGATTAAGTGTAGCTTCAGCACCATCAGCTTCTCGCTCAAGAATCTTTCGTCGATTCTCCTTGTCTTCCTCTTCTTGAGCCTCCTTGTCCACTTCAGTCGACAGTTCTTTCGGATCATCGAACGTAACACCACGTTTTCCAGGCACAAACTCGGTAGCCACATCACCAATAGAACCGCGGCGATCAAAAAGGGCAGCAACCTGAGGGGATCCAAGTCCAGCTCGATCAGCACCAAGACCCGATAGTCGACGATTCTGGGGTGTCAACACAACGGTTGGAGTTCGACTGCCTGTTCCTGTGTTGGTTTGAAACAAACCCTTCTTCGGCGTAGCCTTAACCGGTGATGGAGTTCTAGAGCTGACCCTGTTGGACCTAGCAGGAGATGGTCTCTTCGGGGAGGCAGACCGTGACTTGCGTTCTGATGTTCTGGGTGTGGTCTTTGTTGAAGATGCCGGGGCAATTTGGGGCGTGGATGGCTTCACGGATGTTGGCGTCCTAGCCTTGGACATCGACCGTGGTGTTGTCGATGTCTTGACAGGAGATGGTGTCCTACTAGACCTGCGAGCGGATTGCGGCGTCGTGCTTTTGGGTCCAACGCTACGCTTCAGCCTACTCGCTTGAGAAGATGAGGGCTCGGGGCTGGGTGTCGTAGTTGGTTTCTCGGCTGCTTGGGCTTCAGGCTTCTCAGCAGGAGTGCTCTTGCTAATCGCAGCCTGCAGAGCCTCATCAGGGTTATCTGGTGTGTCGGCCTCCTCTTCCATAACCCGCTTGCCCAAGCTTCGTGCATTCCCAAGGGCATTGTTGAGAATACCGCCAATGGCAGTTGTCATGTCCATGCCCATGGTTGTATCACCATCATCCTCGTCCTCATCCTTATCGTCGTTGGTATTCGATGGTTGGGACAGAATTTGGCCAACTCCCATTGTCATGTCCATGGGCGCATCGTCTTCGTCTTCATCCTCATCTGCCTGGTTGACCGTCCTTCGCCGAGAAACTCCCAGGCTCTTTCTCTTCTTTTGCGAGAGAACTCCACCCATAACTGTCGTCAGCTCCATCGACATGTCTTCGTTCCCATCTGACTCGTCCATCTCATCAGGAACGGGCCGACGGATACCACCAATTGCCGTGGTAAACTCCATAGTAGCCTCTTCCATCGGGGCATCATCCTCATCATCTTCGTCATCCGGCTCAGGCACCGGCTTTTGCGCCTTGTTCTGGTTCATGATGCCTCCAAATACACGGGTGACGTCCATAGACATGTCCTCATCTGGATCACGTTCCTGTGCAGGTTGAGGCTTTATGATGCCACCAACCGCCCGTGTGATGTCCATATCCATGTCCATATCCATATCTGAGCCATCATCGTCATCGTCGGCTTGAGCTGATTGCGCTTGTTGGGCTTGAACTGGTGGCGGTAGATTTTCTTGGTCTCGTGCAGCGACAGTCGGCTTGTTCGCCTCTTTGCCCCATCCGAAGGAAGGAATGAACTCCTCGCCGTCGTCGAGATCTTCATCGCTATCCTCCTCGAGACGCTGGTTGCCAGCTCTTCGAGCAGCAAGTCTGAGGGCTTCGTCCAACGTTGAGGACTCTTCTTCGTCGGAATCAATCGATCGGTCTGATGCGGCTGTCGTTCCTGTCACCTCGTCGATGGTGAGCATCGTTCCATCGTCAGAGTCGCTGCTTGAGCCGTCGTCTTCGCCATCATCCTCCACGTCGGCAACTTCTTCCACCGCATCTGCAGGCTCGGAGTCTGAACTATAGACTGTCGATGTCGCCGTATCATCATCCGGGTTGTGAAAGTTTGCGGGTGGAAGGCCAGAGCTTCTTCGTTGCTTCTTCTCCTCTTGATCGCTCGTAGCATTTGATGAGGTCCCATGCTGTGTGTCGGCATTATTCGAAAACGCAGAGTTCCTCCTGGTTGAGTCGGTGGATGTTGTAGAGTCTTGCATGTATTCGACCTCGTGGAAGGTATGTAGAGTCGCTTCAGCCGCGAAGGAAACACGACGGTTGGCAAGGGACTTTCGACGAGCATCACGACGCTCCCGCTCCTCGCGTTCTCTGGCGGCGGCTTGTTGCTCCTCCTCAGTCTTGACGGCGATCTTGGACCCATTGGATTCTGTGGTAGACTGATCTGCGAACGGAGATTCTTTTGTAGGTTCACCAAAGTCGATCAAATCAGGCACCTTGGGTTTCATGGGTGGGATTTCGGGTATGGGAATAGTCGGCTTGAGGATAGAGCGGGGGGCTTTGTTCGAGGCGGCAAGAGACTACATCGTGTTAGTTGGATATAGCGCAGGTTAAGAGGACATTGACTTACCAGGCGCCTATTTCCATTTGCCTTCATGAGGGCATCTAAGCCACCTGGTCCCAAACTCTTGCTTCTCGACTTCTTGCGACTCGCTGCCAACGAACTTGTGACGTCGACAGTCGCATTCTCCTTTTCCATTGCTTTATGAACATCGGTATGCGAGGCAATCGACCTGCGTGTGCGCCGCGTGGCGGGCACAGTGGCATCAGTAGCAGGCGCCATTGTCGGTAGAGTTGTCGGATCTTGTCAAGTTGAAGCCAACTCCAAACCCTGGACGCGACGGCGATAAAGTGGTAGTGGGCTGTATCTCGCGACGGACCGTGTTTGTTTACTTTGGGCGGTAGCAACAGGGGAGGGGCTCCACTTTGCCAAGTCTTCCGCCATGCTCTCAGCCAAAGCATAATCCCCCGCCTGCTCACGTGATCCCTCAAGTGTCAGCCACAGATCCCCCACTCGCTTAATTACCTAATCTGTGGCGCTCGGCTGCACAGCCAATCCCCAAATTTTACAAGCCCTAAGTCTCAAACTGCACGGAAATTTTGGTGTGTGATTTGCCCTACTTCTCCATCTGCGAAAACTGACCTCCGCAGCCACTCTCAACCTCGCCTCACCCAGCTTAATCCCACGACACGCCCTCTCGTTACGGTACCTGCCCGAGAAGGATTATTCAAGATGTCAGTCAGAACCTCAGCAACGATCGATACACGATGTCCCGAACGAACGCGTCGCTAACCTCTGCATCAGGGCGACCGAGTTGACCGTCCAGTCGGAGCGTGCTTTCCAGAAGCAGCCTCACATCTTCCAGAACTCGAAGGCCCGAACCAAGAGCACCCGACCGGGCAAGGGTGGCCGACGATGGTACAAGGACGTCGGTCTGGGTTTCCGTACCCCCAAGGCCGCCATTGAGGGCAGCTACATCGGTACGTCGGACGTGGAAAATATTTGGTCTGGAGAAGCATTTTGGAGGTGGAGCGCATTCAACAGGGCTCGCGAGAATGGAGATGCATTCGAGCATGCCTTGCGCAATTTGGGCGACCAGACGACTTCATGTTGAATCGCATGCTGACATTTTGACTACAGACAAGAAGTGCCCCTTCACTGGTCTCGTCTCCATCCGTGGCCGTATCCTGACCGGCACCGTCGTTTCCACCAAGATGCACCGAACCATCATCATTCGAAGAGAGTACCTCCACTTTATCCCCAAGTACTCTCGTTACGAGAAGCGACACAAGAACGTTGCCGCCCACGTCTCCCCCGCTTTCCGTGTCATGGAGGGTGACCAGGTCACCGTTGGCCAGTGCCGGCCCCTGAGCAAGACTGTACGTTGGAGGATTCTGCCAGTATGCGACGGTGGAAAACGAATGCTAACTTGTCCAAGGTCCGATTCAACGTCCTGCGCGTGCTGCCCCGAACTGGCAACGCTGTTAAGAAGTTCAGCAAGTTCTAAATTGGAACTCTTCTGGCATTGTTTTTGGCGTGATAAGCATCAGGGGGAATGGAAAGTTTCCTCTGAAGGGTCGGGCACCGGATGTTGCGTTGCAAACGGTTGTGCTATAGATGCAATCGCGAATAAAAAGGATTCACGAAGACAATTGTCTGTCTGGGGTTCATGGTTCACTTTTGGGCGTGATATGGCTAGGAAAAAGGTCGTCATGATCTCAAGATTACGTTCATACCTTTGACTATCTCGGACCAGAAAATGCCAGTGCCTAGTGAGGACCTATTCTCTTGTGAGCGGTGCCAGTGGAATGGATGATTCAAGTTGTCAAGCCAGCGGGCTCTGTGTCGACTGGTGACCGGTGTATTGCCTAGTAAACAAGCAACACGGAGCATGAAGCGAAGGGCCATTTCTAGGTACTCATAATCTGGCAAACCACCGAACTGGGAGCCAGAAGTATCATACAATAATTCAGTTGAAGTCATCACGGGATATTTGTGTGTACCGTGTCTAGCACAGTGCATGTACATATTTCACACCTCCACCCATCGCAATTGAAGGTCACTGAAAGTTCAACCTCGGACGAGACCTCTCTATTCGCACTCACGACTCGACCTCCAATCCCTATCCTCACACTCAGCTACCAATTCAGACCTGTAGCTGAAATGGGCTGGATCTCTTCCATCCTCGGCACCGACAAATCGGCGGATCCCCTCGGAAAACTCGATCCCAGTCTCCGCGACTTTCTCGAAAAAGAATCACCCCTCAAGTACCCGACGAAGCAGCCCGCAAACCCCCCTCCACCAGCCCAAGAACCCAGTCATGACGATCCTGCGATAGCATCGGCTCAGAAGCCAGCTGTTCCCTCGGCGAGCTTGTACCAGGACGGACGATATGCACACCTATGGAAAAACTACCAACCGCTGTCCCAGATCGAGGCCGAGACTGCGAGCGATCATGAGAAGCTCATGAATGTCCTCCAGTCGTACAAGGAGAGGAAGGAGGCCATTGGAAAGGCTGCGCTGGAGAACTGTGCAGAGCATCAGGAGGAATGGGTGAATTGCATGAAGCATGGCACTTGGGAGGATCAAATGCAAATGTGCCGGCACCAAGTGCGCAGGTTTGAGCGGTGCTACATGATGCAATCGGTATGACTACAGCTACTTGTCTCGGTCATTGAGGTTAGCTAACATTATGCGCAGCGATTCCTCCGTGCGCTAGGATACGGATCGGTTGAGGGCAGGTCTGCCGTAGTGGAGGAAGACATCCAGATGCACGCCGACGCTCTCTTCCAGCGGATGATCAAGCACGAGGACGCCGTGGAAAAGGCCAAGGCCGAAGGACTCCCCATCCCAGTCTTCGACCCCGCGATACCCAAGTCCAAGGCCCCAGCTGTTACACCCACCGAGGAGCTCCAGCAGCAATGGAAGGAGCAGCTCGAGAAGCTCCCGGAGGAGGAGCGGGCGATAGAAGAGGCTGCTCTGAGGGCCGATCTCCAGGCCAAGGCCCAGGTGGCGGGAAGCGTGCAGAAGATCTGGGATACGCAGGCGGAGCAGAGGAAACAGCGGCAAGCAGATGGAAACTCGACATTTGGGGACTATGTTGCGTCTCTGTTTGGGAAGTCTGGAAAATAGAGAAAAAGGAATGTCTGTGTATGATTCTGTATAACATGTGGTTGTCGGTTTGGACCAATGCTGTCCAAGGTCACGAGGATAAAATGATGTACGCACAACTCAATGTAAAAATATTGACTGAAAATATGCTGTATGTACTGGGATCTATATGAGCTGGTATGATTGTGCGCCATGGTGATCTCTAGAGATGAGAAGTTGAAGTGAACTCTCCAGCTTCTAACTACACGGAAATCATGGATTTGGGAGCAAAGGAAGGAGGAAAACTCAGAACTATACTCTACAACTACATACGCAAAATACTACTGAGAAATGTCTAAAATAAAAATAAATAGCAAGAACTAATTAACCATCAACTGCCTACTTGCTTCTCGTCTTATATATATCTGGTCCAAGTCCTTCTCCTACCCTAAGGTGAAACCATCACGATGTCGGCACGACGGAGAATCCTGGACCCAAACTGAAGACACTTCTCCCATCAAATCCAACGACCGGTTCCGTGGTCTAGTTGGTTATGGCATCTCGTTAACACCGAGAAGGTCCCCGGTTCGATCCCGGGCGGAACCACCATTTTTTGCCGTTTGGTACTATTTTTGCCAAGACTTTGATCGCCAAGCCTTCGATCTATAAGACTGTCTGTCACTCGACTACATGTCCTTTGTAAACAGAGGAATTCTCATTTTTTTTCTAGACTGCGGATAATTTTACTGGCCAACTCTAATCATTGCTGAAACTCGCGATAAATAACGCACTCTGGCTGCTTGCTGAGCAACCCAACACCAAGATTACAGCGGGAGGATTGCTGTGAGATCCCACCAGAGCAACATGTTCGATAGTCAAGTGACTATCACTGAGAGCTGTCTCTTATCTTAGCAATTACTTCCTTTAGAGAGCCTGATTGACTGGCAGTAGTTCACTCATTAAACACTCAACAATAGCCACGGACACAGTCCCATGTCAGAGCTCGAGAGAGAATAGTGTGCTTGGCCAACGGCATATTCATTGCTCCATTGGATATGGATATCATAAAGATGACTCCTGCTAAATCACAACAAAAGTAACCCAAACTCCCCTCTTCCCACAGCGTCTAGGCGATTTTCACACCAACAGATGCTCTAGGTTGTTTATTTACTACCCGTCTAGCAGCAAGCCTCGTCACAGGCGCAGAGACCGCAGCAGATCTCGCAGCCAGCCTCTTCACCACCACGCATGCTCATCTCGGGCTGGGGCTCGGCCGACTTGACAGATTGTTAGCTCCAGGGGACGAGTGTCACTCAAACATAAAGAAAAAAACTCACGGGCTGCTGGGTGACAATGTCACCGTTATCACTCGTCATGGGGGCTTGCTGGGTGGGCTCCATGGAGGCAGGCATGATTGCAGATTGGAACAAGGTTGGAAATAAGGTAGAGAGTAGAAGAAAAAGACTGCAGAGTTTGTGACTTGTAACGGGTGGATGTGTGTGTGTGTATCTTGCGTAGGTACAGCAGAACGGCAACCCATAGCCGGATGTCGTCTCTTAAGTAGCCAAACAGTGGCGCTCCATGAGGCGTAGCTCAAATGAAGACAGCTACGAGAACCCCTAATCAGAGGCCGCCAACATCGTTTCCAGTTGTGCCTCCATCACAGGTCCTGATACCACTGACGTACGCTTGCGGTGCCGGTTTGCCGGGTGGCTCTTTGATGTCTCTGGTCGACTCGTACCCACGGGAGCAGCCGTGGCTGGGCCGGGCCAGGGTCTGCTGGTATTCAGGGACTGCGACCATGAATGAGAACCCTCGAGGGACGGCAATCAGAGGCCGAGATGGAGTCGCCGTGCGTAAACCATTCGCCCAAGCCTCTGGAACCATCAGCCATCAGCGGCACTGGCTGCCGATATATGCGGTGCCGAACTTCCGGGAAGCTCCACCCCGCATTTGACCGATCCGATACGGCACATGGATAAGCCTCGCAGTGACCTCACTGAAACACCAGGGACCGGCTTCAAGCATCATGGATACTGGGCTATTATTATCCAGAAGCCAAAAAGATGATAGGATGGAGGGATGGATGGATGAAGAATGAATGAATGTTGAAATGTAAATGGTCTAACGAAGCACCAAAACCACCAAAAAGAGCCAAAAAGCTCAGATAGTGGTGTCAGAGAACCATTCGCATTTGCTCTTGGAACAGCACAGTAATGTGGAAGCAGACCAACAGCTGCAACACATCAATTGTCAGATGAAAGCGTTCCGTCGTGATATCACCTCCTCAAACATCCTGCAGTCAGATCTGGTGCACAAGAGGCAGATGGTAGACATTGTTAGCAAGTCAGCAGGGCTCGTCACGATGCCACATCACAGGGCTCAGCTCGATCAGAAATATGCTAGGGAACAATCGATTCTGTCGACTATTGCCTCCAACAACAAAGACTTTTTTTTGCTTTAGTATTTCGAGAGTCGCGCAGCCTTGAACCGGCTGACCCTCTCTTTTCCTCCATCCGGCTCGTCCAAGGGCTGGATCGGAGACTCGTCTTCCTTGAGGAACCCACCTTCTCGCTGAATAAACTTCTTGCGCATTCTCTGATACTCATCAGCAACCTCGTGGTGGATCATTTCATCGTCAATTTCATCCGGGGGCTGTGGATCTGCCTTTGTTTCGCGTTCAACTAACGTGTCAGCTAACGTTGTTCCTTCGGGACCCGTGGGCGCCGTTGGTCGATCTTGATCCAGGAACTTGACGGGGACGTCAAGAGGACCGGGTGGCACACCCGTATCCCTAGCCTTCTTGAAGCGAGAAGGTTTGCGATTCGACTTGACCTCAGGGGTCTTGGTAGGGCCCGATCGCTCAACAATAATGTCACTCAGTGGTTCCACCAGAGGTTCCTTTTCCTTAATAGCCTCCCTCACCGGAAGCGTCGTGGGCTCCTCTTCGGGAGCAATGTCGAGACTTGAGGCGAAGCGAATTCCCTTCTTGCCGCTGGATGCCTCGGGTTGCTTTTCCTTGATGTTTGACTTGGTGGGTGCTGGTTTTGATGCCGAGGATGATGCTTCGGCCTCTCGCTTCACGACAATGCGGCCAATACCCTCATCGTCTGAGCTCGACTCCGCATCTTCCTCTTTCTCGGCCTTTTCAGTGAAACGGGACTTGATGCCCAGTTTCTTCTCGAGCTCGAGCATCCTTTGACGGTAGCCATCTGTCACGATGCGACCAGTGGACCGGCCATATTTGTCCTCTTCGTCGTCATCATCTTCGAAACCTTCGTCGCTATACTCAAAATCGTAGTCCTCATCGTCATCGGTGTCTCCCTCCTCCAGTTGCAACTCTGCGACAACAGCACCAATCTCGCCCGAGTATGCGAGCATCTGTCGGCGCAACTCTGCTTCCTCCTCGTCATCGTCTTCGGGAATAATTGGTTGTTCCTTGCTGATGATTTCCTGTTCCTTTGCATGGTTCATGATTTCTTCGACGCGCTTGGCATTCCGTGAAATCTGGGGGGTAGGTCCGTCTTGTGTTTTTGTGTCGACGGCAAACGATACTCCTTTGCTGGCAGAGGGAAGAGGCTGCACAGGCTCTTGTGATGGTGTTGGTGCAGCTGCCGGCTCTGGAGCGCTCCTTGAAACTGTCGGTTCCTTCTCTGTGGCTTCCTCCTTTGATGTCGATTCATCCTCCTCGAGATCCTTCACACCGGCCTTCTCGAGAGCCTCTCGAACCTGAGGCAACGAATCGCCAGGCTTGTTCAGCCTGTAAGAGACGACATTGTCGTCGTCGTCAAGCTGCTCAATAATTTCAGTGATCGGCAGACCCTCCTCATCAGTGGCATCTGGCTGACTGATAACTGTAGCCGCGGCAAGCTTATTCTCTGCCGCCTCAATCTGTTTCTCCAAGGACTCGATGTTCTTGGTGACATAGTCGATGCGTCGGTCAAGAACGTTTAGGATCTGTTCCTTGGACTTTCGATTCTTTTGACCGAAAATCTCATCAATCTCACGTCGATTAACGAGCTCGCCCTCGAAGCCATCTTGGATTGTGGCTAGCTCCGTCTCGGTTGTCTTGCACACGGCGTCGACCTCCTCCTTGAGAGCCTCATACTCGGCATCCCACGTCCTCCAATGCTGCAGGGCCGTTTGCAGCTTGCTGACGTTTTCTTCGAGCAGCTGCCGATGCCGTTCGAGATCCTGGAGACTGTCTTTGCCTGGAGACATTTTGCCGATCTGATGCAGCTGCCGTGAGGCGCTGGTGGCGGAAACAGAACTTTTTTTTTTGTCGGGGGGAGGTAGCGATGATGAGTGATGAGGAAAAATGGCAGGGGTGCCTGAAGCTTAACGTGACGGGTAAACACCGGCATAAGATAAGTCCCAGACGTCATTCACGGTCGCCGTTATCAACTTAACGATAGCGTCGATCTTGTTAGTGCGATGCACGCCCCTCATCTCACGAACAGCACAAAGGCGTGTTTGACACATCAGCCATGAATTTTGGTAGATCTGACAGGCATTGGGTGAGACCCTAGGGAAGGATCGAGTGTTTTAGGCGTCTTACAGTATAAAAGCCACCTAATGGCCGTGCGGGGTGGACAAGAACTTGTCCTCCTGCATCTTGATCTTGATGTGCTTGGCCATCATCTATAACATCAAGCCATGAAGGAGTCCAGCGACACCAAGACCCTCGAGGCCAAGTGCTTCTGTGGCTCTGTTCACTTCAAAGTCGACGTGCCTGTGTCTTCCCTCCCGTTTCTTACCCATCTCTGCCATTGCAGCCTCTGCAGATATGGCTCAGGAGCACCATGCATCTTTCACGCTGCGCTACCCCTGGACGTCATCCCCAAGTTCGTGGCACCGTCGTCGGAGAAGAACATGACGGGCTTCCTCATCGGAAACGGAATTGCAACCTGGAACTTTTGCTCGACTTGCGGATGCCACATTGCCTGCATTGCAATCGATAAGAGGACCTGGACGCCTTCCACCTCCATCTTTATCGACGGCCCTGAGTACTTTCACATCCGCAAGCACATCTACAGCAAGTCGACAAAGGATGGTGGCATTGCGCAGGCGTTGACGCACACGAGGGGCCAAGCTTTTATCGATTGGAACCCTCCTGATGACAGTCCGGATGCCAAGATTGTCGAATCTCGCCCCGAGGTTGGCGAGGATGGAAAGGAACGTCTTCGCGTCCAGTGCGAGTGCAAGGGTGTTTCTTTCACGATCCCTCGACCAAGCCAGGAGGTTATCGACGACGAGTACATGTCCCAATTTGTATCTCACAAGGACAAGTCGAAATGGCATGCAACCTTTGATGCGTGTGACGACTGCCGCCTCGTCAATGGCACTCATGTTGTTGGGTGGACCTTTATCCCCCTTTCGGTGTGTGAGCCTCCCATCAAGGACGACCTCCTCATCGGCACGGCAAAGACCTTCAAGTCATCAGATGACGCCTTGAGATCCTTCTGCGGCACCTGCGGAGCAACAATCTTCTACTCCCACAAGGATCGAAGGCCGGGAACCAAGCAGCACATCGTCGACGTGGCAACGGGTATCCTGAGAGCCCCTGAGGGCGTCATGGCAGAGAATTGGCTCACTTGGCGAGGAAGGCTGGCATGGTTCCCCAGCGGCAAGAGATACGATGAGAAATTCGCAGAGTCGCTGCAGGAGGGAATGAACAAGATGGTGTTGGATAGACACGGCGTGGTTGATGATTACAATATCGGTTGATGGCTCCGGAGTTTCGGAGACGGCGCCGAGAGACGATGCATGATAGGGGAGTTGGGGTGGGAGTGAGCGATGTAGTATCAGTCTTTTGGTGATTTTGAAAATCTCGAGAATTTCAGAAATGAATCGAAGTATGCACTTGAATGTGCCAGAAGCCCCTGTTTATGCTCTATGCTTGACCGTGATTCTATCAACCATGGGAACTATTGTTAGCGGACTCGCCTCCGAACGGCCGTAGTAAAGGCGCCGGCGCCGGACAGTTACCGACGGTCTCCGGCAGCATCAACGAGTGAGTACAATTTTGCCTCACCGGAAGAGATAAGTATATCAAAATCACAAACTCAACTATCTGGGACTCATTAAAGCAATTTTTGACTCTTTTTGAAACCTCGACATCCAGCCTACTAAACTTGCATCACCATACCTACCTAGCCTCCATCACGAGTGGATTACCCGAGCTTTCAGCGACTCACTCAACCCCAAGACATTCTCCTCTCACCAACTTTTTTCCCGCTCATAGACGTCGCCCAATTCGATGCGTCATGTATCGTGGCGAGCTATTAGGCAACCATTCACATTCATAGCAGTTGCAAGAGCCTCCCTATACACTATGGCTTCTTCAAGTCGATCCTACAATGTAGAGTCCTCACCCCCGCAGTGACTGAGTGAGGCTGACTTGGTTGTAGGACGCCATTGATGCGCTCAACTCACTTCAGACGCCTTTCGATATAATAGAGGCTCGGAGGAAGGCTGGTATTAGACCGGATGCCGTGTCTATCAAAGAGATGAAGACCTATCTTCATCGGATCGGCTATACTGTGAGAGCTTGGCAAAAAAACCGCTTAATATCACGACTAACAAGAAACAGCCCGCAGACTTGGACCGCCTCAAGATAGTTCACGTAGCGGGAACAAAAGGTAAAGGAAGCACCTGCGCCTTTGTCGACTCCATTCTTTCTCAGTATCAGAACTCGTATCCTGCCCTGCGCAAGACGGGTCTTTTCACCTCTCCGCACCTCATCGCCGTGCGCGAGCGTATTCGCATCAACTCGACGCCAATCTCGGAGGAACTCTTTGCAAAGTACTTTTTCCAAGTTTGGGACCGCCTTGAGGCGGCGCCTAAGGGGGAAGGTGATGAACTCATGGCTCCCCGGCCCATCTACGCTCGTTACTTGACGTTGATGAGTTGGCATGTGTTTCTTCAGGAGGGTGTGGATGTTGCCGTATATGAGACGGGAATTGGAGGTGAATACGATGCGACGAACGTCGTCGAGAGGCCTGTGGCATCAGGGATCAGCACGCTAGGCATTGATCACGTCTTTGCGTTGGGTGACACGGTTGCAAAGATTGCATGGCACAAGGCTGGCATCATGAAGACCGGCAGCGCGGCCTTTACGATTGAACAGGTCCCTGATGCGGACGAGGTCCTCAGAAAGAGGGCAGTGGAGAAGAAGGTTGACTTGAAAGTTCTGGATATCGACCCTCGACTAGAGGCTGTCAAGATCCGACCAGACGCCGTCTTTCAGAAGCGCAATGCTACTCTGGCTGTTGCTCTAGCTGAGACTGCACTGGAAAAGGTTGGAGTTCCACTACCACCCAAGACGGGACCGCTACCGAAGGAGTTTGTTGAAGGTCTTGAAAAGGTTGTGTGGAGAGGCCGATGCGAAGTAAAGAAGGAGGAAAAGGTGACCTGGCACGTCGATGGCGCTCACACATCTGACAGTCTCAAGATGTCGGCCAAGTGGTTCAAGGATGAAACCTCAGGACGGTATGTTCCTAATTCAACCCCTATTCATGAAGCTAACCCCCCTTAGCACTGGCCCTCGTGTCATGATCTTCAACCAGCAAGGTCGCTCCGAGGCAGTCGACTTCCTTGATTCTGTGTTCAAGGCGACGAGGCGAGATGGAAAACCTGCTTTTGACCATGTCATCTTTTGCACAAACGTCACATACGCCGCTTCAGGCTACAAGCGAGACTTTGTCAACCGACAGTACGACCCGGCTGAGATCGACAAGATGACGGTTCAACACCGCTTCGCTGAAAAGTGGTCTGCTCTGGACCCTGAAGCCGATGTCAAGGTCATGCCGACAATTGAGCAGTCCATCGACTTTGCCCGGCACGTCGGTGAGGGTCTCCCTGAGGGTGAGACGGTGCAGGCCTTGATTACCGGGAGTCTGCATCTCGTCGGCGGAGCCCTGGGCATTCTGGAAAAGGCTGATGCCCTGTAACTGGCAAAAAAATAAAGGCGCGTATAGGTAGATGGGCATATTAGAAGGAAGGCATCTATAATAGACCCTCGGGCTCCAAGGCCCGTAAGATACCCCCTGCAAGATACATACTCCCTGTTGCTAGGACCTTTTGATGTGAACTACCTTGCTCCGCAATCTTTCTTACTTCAGCGACTGTATCCTGAATGTTGTCAAACGTCTTTGTATGGCAGGCAGGTGCCCTTTCATCCATCGTTCGCGCTACGCGAAGCTGCACCTCCAAGTCTCTCTTCTCGCCGTCGACCGGCTTCTCCTGGTCGTTTCTTGTGAAAAAGGCGTGACTAAAGACGTTTTCTCGTCCCGAAGCATCTCGGATAGCGTCGAGAAGCACCGTCAAGAGTTCAGCTGCGTCTCTCTCCTGTTGGTTAAAGACGAGAACTGCAGAGTCATCTGGACCAAGCGTAGCGACGAACCACTTTGCAACCTCTTGCATGCTGTCCTTGGTGTGCGCGCCATCCAGATGCCATCCGATGTGACCCTGCTGGATGACTTCGCAGCGGCCTCGAATGTTTGCTTCCTTCAGGCCTTGGACCATCTTGTCTGGGAGGTTTAGGAGGGCAGTCTTGGGGTCACTTCCCATACCTAGATGTTCTCGTACAGCAAGCACGGCAAGTGCTTGGTTGTACTTTTGAAAGTTTCCGGGGAGTCTGCCTGGCACGCCTCCCCATTGCTCAACAAGGGCGTCGTCTAGCTCGACGAGCTCGGCACCTTTCTCCGCCGCTCTCTCTTGCAGGACACGCCTCACGCTAGGCTTCTCCTCTATCTTGCGGACGAAACCACGCACGCCGGGCTTGAAGATACCAGCCTTGTGCCAGGAGATCTTCTCGACGGTATCTCCTAGCATGGCAACGTGATCGATACCCAGCTGCGTCAAGACGGCAACCGAGACAGCCTCAGGCGGCACCACGTTGGTGGCATCGTATTCGCCACCGATTCCACATTCGAGAACAACACTATCAACCTTTTCCCGCAGGAAGATGTGCCATGCGAGTATGGTCATAAAACGAAAGAAGAACGGTTTCGAGTTTGGTCCCTCAGCCTCTGCAGTGCCCATGCCTTCTTTCTTGGCTATTTCGGAGAGTCGCTCCCACAACTCGAAGAAGGCCTCAGCGAACAGGCCCTGGGAGACCGGCTCGCCCTGTATAGCAATGCGCTCTCGAGGACTGACGAGATGCGGGCTCGTATATGTCCCAACTGTTTCATATTGTCGCAGCATGCCTGTGGCGAAAGCACTCACGGAGCCTTTCCCCTTTGTGCCTGCGACGTGTATATGTCTTAGGCGTGCGAGATCCTTGGGCTCGTAACCTGCGCGGCGGAGCCATTGGCGCATTTCCGGGATGGCCAAGGCATTGAGGTCCTCGGCCGGCTTATTTGCAGAGCTTGAGCTGGGAGCCTTTTCAAAAAGATGGGTGATTTGGCGGTTGGAGTAGAGTTGCGAGAGGAGGCCGAGAGCTTCACTGTAGCTGCGAGGTGCGGTGCTGAGGCACCGACCAGTGCTTGTCGAGCTCATGGCTAAGACGCGCACTCTGGCGTAGCTGCTGAGTAATGAGCAACGATATCGCATTATTTTTTCAATCATTAATCGCACATTCCAAGTGATTGATGAGCTGTGCTGTGTAGAGTTGAGGTTAGAGATGGGTTTTTGCTGGTGGTGTGTGGGAAAAGAGACTGCCTATTCGTCGACCAAGAGGAGCCTTGGTCTTGGATTAATCATGGTTTCTTTTTCATCATCATGACTTATTCTTATACCTACCTAACTCCCTATTCGGGAATGATGTAGATAAATAAGGACCTACCTAGGTAGGTAAACATGATAACATCCTTAGTACTTTTTATTGTTTTGGTCTGTTTTCAAGTTTAGCAAAGACTCATCTGAATTCGCCCTTTCAATCTTCCAGCGGCCCCCCATCAGGTTTTGAGACTTGCAAACCATTCAGTCAGAGTTGACGCCAATAAGCAACTCTTGTCTTGATTGCCACAACCTAGACTTGAGCTTCGTCCTCTGCTTCATTCTCTGCTTCGGCTTCGGCTTCGTCTTCAGCCTCATCTTCTGCTTCCTCCTCAACTTCGTTCTCTATCTCGTCTTCTGTCTCGGCCTCTGCCTTTAATTCCTTTGGCCAGGGCCACCAGCCCTTCAGCGGCATATCGTCGTAGATGGCATTTATACACTGCCATGGTGCATTGACGTGATAGTAGTACACCCAGTGGTCGTGAGTGCGATAGGCTACCGCCGAGAGGGTATCCTCGATTTTGAGATTCCGTATCCTAAACTCGGAGAGCACGCGAAGCTCGTGAGAGTGTACTATGAGCTCAGCCACCCATTGCGGATCATCTTGCAGGTCGTCGAGGTGGTAGGTGCGGCAGAACCTTTGGAGGCTTGAGTTTTCCTCGTGGGGATAGCACGCATACTCTCCCCTCTCCTGATCGACATTGGCTTCGCTCCAGTAGAAGCCCTCCCTCATCAGTTTCGGCACATCGTGAGCATTGACCTGGAGGAAGGCTCTCCACTCTGGCGTGGTGTCCCTTGGAACATCCAGATCCGAGGCGAATTTTATTTCTAGGACCCAGGCCATTTCTTCCGCGAGATGGCATCTGCACGACATACGGGAACTGCTAGCTTCACTGCCACGCTGCGGGGTTTCGTTTTCCGCCTGTCGAGAGAAGGCATTGTTGAAACCGTGAGCCAGTTTTTCAAAGAAATTAGAAACTAGGCCTGCCGGCTAAGCAAAGAGTTAGTATATTATAGCTGGGGTTGATACCATGGACTTCTACGTACAGGGTCGACATCGGAGTTTGGTTGCCTGGACATCCTTCAGTATCAAGGGTGAGATCAAGTTTAGACTGGAGAGGATAATGGAAAGAAGAATTGACACACGGTTTAAATACTTCTCTCGATATATGTGTGTCACACCAGACGTGAATGCCATCGTGGATGGCGGCTTGGCCATAAACCCACCCCTCCCGTCCCTCTCAGGCTGCCATGGACAGCTACCGGTTGCCAACCTACTCTGAAACCTGCCGATGCCCAACAAGACTTCCTGCACCGAGAGTTGACCGAAACCTTGGACACCCCTGGTTGGCCGGTGAAGCCGAGGCCTTTAGGACCGAGTCTCTTTTCTTCTTGTTAGCCACTAGCTCCCAGCCAAGCAGGGAATTGCCCTTAGAGAACAAGGCCGTACTTGAGTTGATATGAAGAAAGACTCCGACCCCTCCCTGAGTATCTAGTAACGGCCCGATGGAGGGGAACCAACCCGTGGCCTCAATGTTCCGAGCAACATGCAACGAGTCCCCAAAGCAGCTTATTGCATCCCAACAGAATGCCAAGTTGCCGAGGGGGACTTCGGATCTTATAGAGGGTGAGATGACATCTGAGGGAACACGTCGATCGACAAGAACTGGTCACCAGAGAGCTACCAAACGGTGCCACGCCCTCATCGTCTATTGCTATCTAATACACGGGCATTGAACCCCTCTAGACACGACGACACCAGGGACAAATATACAGAACAAATGAGACGGCTCCTTTTGTTTAGTTTAACCTTAATCCACACGGAGGCTCTGCAGACGGGCCTCTGTAGCAATCACCTAGTCATCGTATTAGCAGATTGGTCAGAACCAGTAGAGGATACACTTACGTCGAGAGCCTGCTGAACCTCCAACACCTTGCGAACCTCACCCAGCCAATCCTTGCTCAAAGTCTTGGCCCATCCCTCCAGGCCGTTCATCTCTCGCGCCGCCGAGTCCAGATCACCCTCCTCCAGGTATGTCTGGGTGCGGGTCAGGACACTCTCCACATCGTTGCCTTCCGCAAGGCCCTGCTTCTTGAACATGACGTGACTGAGCACCCAGCTGGATGCGTGGCTTGCAACACCAGCCTCATCAGGAAGCAGCGAGGCCTTTCGGACCTCGTTAGCGACACGACGGAATCGGTCAATCAGTTGGGAAGAAGTAGAGATGCCGCGCTGGTAGGCGGTGGGGTTCACAGAGGCGATGGCGGCGTTGACAACGGGGTCGTCCGAGGCAATCTCTCGGAGAGCCACGAGCTCGCGGATAAAGGGGCGAGGGTGGTGATCATCCTCTAGGCTTGCTCGCACAGCCTCGACGGCAACGTGCAGCTGCTGGGTCTGAAGGTTGGTGTCAAGAACCTCGTTCCAGCCGGTTGTGAGCTTCTCGAGGTCCGCAACAGCCGAGGACAGAGCAGTCAGCTTGCCTAGTCGGCTCTCACGCTCCTGCTCAACCTGGTTCTCCACATCCTTGACAAACTCCTTCTTAAGAGCAAGGGCCTGTTCGAGGAGCTGGTTCTGGAGCTTCTCCTCGTTGAGCTTCCGCTCACGCTCAAGAAGGACCTTGACTCGGTCTTCGTAGTTCTCGCGGACCTTCTTCATCTCCTCCTCAAACTCATGTCGCCATTGACTCTCCTGGGTGATCATGGCGCTCTCAACACGGTCAATCAGATCGGTGGCGGCCTTGTCGAACTCATCGATCTTGTCCCTAACTTGGCCGGCTGCCTTCTTCTCAAACTGCTCCTTCATGCCCTTGAGCTTGCCTCCAACCTTGGTGATCTCATTCTTGGCCTTGTTGACGGAGGATCCGTAGCGGCCGTGGGCACCATCAGCGTTGATGACCAGGATAAGGTCATTCACCATGTGGACGAGGTCCTGAATGACGGGCTCCCTGGCGTCATCCAATGACAGAAGGTCAATAGGCTTCAGAGGAGGGTACCTAGATGGTTCATTGACCTCGGGGGCCTTGAAACCAGACTCGGACCGAGGAGTAGGAGCGGGAGCGGGGGTAGGAGCGGGCTTCTCAACAACCTTAGCAGTAGGTTTCGGCTCAGCAGCCTTGGGCTTGGGGGCCTCAGCCTTGGGCTCCTCCTGCTTCGCAGGAACGGGACCAGCGCTGGAGCGTCGAGTACCATCGGCCACCCTCCACGAGGCACCGCTCTGGGCGGGGATTCTCACGGCACCATCCGCATCTCGAGACTTGGCATTGGTGGCGCTGTTGGGGAACCTCTTCTTGTACTCCATTTCCTCAAGGTAAAGTACGGCCTGCTCGCCGAATGGGACGTATCCAGTAAAGAAGTCGTGGAAGTTGTCGCTGAAACAAGAATACCAGACACCTCCGGCGAAGCCGACAGCACCGAGGACGAACAGAGTAAACACAAAGTTCCTAAGTCTGCGGAAGAATCCCTTCTTCTTGGGAGCTGGGGGAGGGGGAGGAGGAGGAGGAGTCGTCTTGGGAGCGTCTACAGTAGCGGCCTTGGTCTCTCCGACATCGTCAATGGTGGTCTCGTGGATCTTGTCGGAGGCAACAGACTGGGTGTTCGGCAGGGAAGGGGAAGATGCGGACTCGGGCTTCTTGTCGACAGCATAGTGACGCTGGAGAGATAAGGTTAGTATTTCCCATCATCCGTTGGTGACGTCGGAAGGGCAAGCTCACCTGGCCGACGAGGGCAGCGCGCCGCGAGGCCGCAACGGGCCATTGGCGGGCGGCAGCGGCCACGGAGGGCCTACCACCGAGCACCCTCACAGACCGAAGCGAAGTTCGCAACATGAGGGAATGCAATGGCGAACAGGGCGCGGTTCGCGATGCGGGTTGAATTCGGTTAGATGGAGTTGAGAGCAGCTTCAAAAACGCTCAGGGTAAAAGTTCGGCTAAAGCCAGCTCCGGATCCGCTCACATGCCCGAGCGGCAGGAACCGGGTGACGCAACTAGAATGATACTGATACTGATACTGATAATGGCAGTTGGATAGCGGAACATGAGAATATGATATTACGGGAGGAATTGATTTAAATATGGACTATTCACATGCGATTAATCTGTCATGTTTCGTCAAGTTTTTCCTCAGAAAATCTTGTCTTCAACGCTGTTATACCAACATATAGTCAAGCCGGCAGTGACACTATCGGCATGTGAGCGTGGCCAAGATCCTGATGACCTATCTCTGTGTCAACCACGTCACAATACATATTGAGATACAGCCTCGTGTTCAGAGGATGTTGGTGGTCTCAACTAAGTGATGCCTGATATCAAATGCAGCTACCTGGTACTTACCCCGCGTCATGTTGTCTTGCGTTTCTCGGCACTTCATTCAGGTCACTCGTCATCAAATGGCTTCAGTCCACACCTTGATCTAACAACAGCGGTCTATTAAGACGCTGAAAACATAATAGGGGAATGCTACAGAGCGCCTTGTACAAACTCTCCTGCTCATTCATCCCGCAAACCACTCTATCTCTCTCCGTGGCGCCCAAAGTGCTGAACTGGGGCAGTGGTAAGCACTCGGGAACCACCCAAACTAAACCACCGCACGACAAAATTCAAGTTCGGTATTAAAAAGTATGGACTGAACTGATTCCCTCCAAACCCAAAGACTCCAGTAAGTATGTGACGCGCCCCAGCTCATTAAGCAACTCGGATCGGAGCCTGTGAATGACACCTGCTATGCATGTACCCGCGCCGAGCTCTCTTGTGTGGTGAATTCGCGGGAGCGTAGTGAAAGGTTGCCTCTAATCTCGATGACTCAAACTCGGAATGGCATTTAGCAGGCGCAGGGTCCGCTGATGTTGGTGTTGGAATTCTCAGGAGCCAGACTGACTCCTGGTCGTTGGCCCGGTCGAGCGTGTCGGGGTCCGGCCTGGTCCAGGGGAAGCTTCTTGGCGATGGCTGTGAAGAGGTTCGCAACGTTCTCGGCTGTCTTGGCCGACGTCTCGAAGAAGAGGAGACCAGCCTCGCGGGCGTAGGCCTCGGCGTCGGCTGTGGGGATGGCACGCTTATCGGGTTGCTCAGTGACCAAATCCAGCTTGTTTCCTGCAAGAGCGATGATGATGTTCTCGTTTGCCTGGCGTTGGAGCTCCTTGACCCACGCCTTTGCCTTGTCTAGTGATGCCTGATACGAGTTTAGCATGTTGCCGAGGGGACCAGTTCAGCCTGGGGTTGGACATACGGATTGGGTGATGTCGTAGACAACAACAGCGCAGTTGGCGTTTCGGTAGTACATGGGAGCCAGTGACTTGTAGCGCTCCTGACCAGCCGTATCCCAGATCTCGAACTTGACAGTGGTGTTCTCGTCGAGCGAAATGGTTTGGGTGAGGAAAGCAGCGCCGATAGTAGACTCGCGATAAGAATCGAATTGGTCCTGGAGGATATATGTATGAGTCCCGAGTACAATGACGTGGGGTTCAGGTCGGCTTTACCTTGACAAATCGCAAAACTATTGAGCTCTGAACAGACATGTCAGTATTGTATCATGATGGAGGCCATCGCTTTGATATACCTTTCCAACGGCAGACTCGCCTACAACATGGTTAGCGACTAATGAACCGGGCTGACGAATTAGAAGAGTGGCTGGGACGTCACATACCAAGAAGAACCAGCTTGAATTGCGCAAAACGGGTGTTGGTGCCGCGGGCGCCAGCGGGAGGTGCTCGGGAAGCCATATTGGAAGACGGGGATGCTGTGTCGAGATGAGAGTGCACGGAGGAGCTTCAGCGAAGGCCGGCGGTAGTGGCGGTATGACTGCTGGTGCTGGGGGTTGGGGCAGGCAGTCGGACGTGTCCTAGACAACGGCGTGGAGCGACGTCTGGGTTGGGTAGCGTATCGAGGACTCGACCGTGGGATGCGCAGGGACAGTGAAAGCGTCGATATAGGATGGATATCTGCAGCAGTGGACAACCGGACAAAGAGATGGAGAGAGGAAGAGTCGACGGGAGGCTGAAAGGTGAGAGGCGAGTGCGAAGAGATGGGCTCTAAGTTGGTTTGGGATGGCGACGGCCTTGAGAAGAGGGACCCGACTAGAGCGGCTGCCTTGGTCGTGACTGGCTGGAGACTCACGAGGCACACGTCAGGGTGCCAGGCAGGCCCTTTTCCTAGCGGCTGTGCCACTGTAGGATACGGCGGGACGGCCTGGACGGGGTCTTGAGGGTCCGAGAAGGGGGTACGTACTCTATCACTACCACGCGGTTTAAGAAATAAACGAGACACCAGAACAGCAGAGAGTATTAACTAACTCATCTGAGATTTAATAGATAATTTTCTATAATTATAATAAGATTCTTAGAAATATCTCATAATAATTATAATACTTTAGAGCTTTCTTGTATATTTTTCTTAACTTTTTTTTTTTTTTTTTTTTTTTTAACTATGTTTAGAGATAGGTAAGTAAATCTGTTTGTTGTACGGAGGTCTCTCTCAAAAGTTTTGTCCAGGAGCTAATAGCGCCAAGGCCGCTTATCCCTGTCGGTACCTGAGGTACTTTGGAGCAAATCTTTTCAGTTACTTACTCCCTAAAGCTATAGGGAGGGCTATTGGAGCCCAGGGGGAAATCTAGTGAAGCTTAGAGAGCTATATCCTTAGAAGATAGGGGCTTCAAAAGCAAAGAAAGAGGACCATAAGTACCGATGTAACTGTGCTTGGAAAATGGCCTCTGATTGGCTCGTGTATTTGTGTGGCTTGAGGGCCAGGACAAAACTTTTGAGATAGACCTCCGTATTGGTGTCTCGTTTTTTCCTTGACCTGGGTGACTACGCACGCAAGCACGCGCAATCTGACCTCACAGAGAGGATGGTACCTGGATGTCTGGTGCGTCATGGCGGGACTAGCAAGTACCTCGGGCTCTCCACCCTTTTCACAGGCCATTCACAAGCCTCATCCTTGTGACGTGCATCATTAGAGCGGTGCGCCACATGTACTCTTGGCTTCCCTTATCCATGTGGCTGTGCCCTAGCTTCGCTGGCCTCATGGCTCACGCCGTCTTGAGCTTCTATTCTAATCAATCATCTCGGCCCATCCCTCGCGTCGAGTCCCTTTTCTCAGGCCCTTCCCTTCCTTCTTTAGCCTTCAAGGCCAGACAAGTCGCCGATCTGGCCACTCCCCAGTCCCCGGCTTGCACTTTAATCCCACAAGCTTTCCGGCCGTTCCTGACCTTCAACTTAATTCAAGCTCCGTCAACCAAGCTCCCGGAAGCTTGACCACACCGCCCATGATGGCACAACTTCACGCCTCCAAACTCCCCTATCGCGACATTAATGTCAAGGTTGCCAACGACTCGTATACCTTCGCCTCGCCCTCGTCCCCCGATGCGCCTGCCCTCGTCATCGACCGTCCTACTGGCGATCTTCGTCTGAGCTCAGGCGGCGCCGCGTCGGCCAAGAGAGCGAGTCGTGTCTCGAGTATTGCCGGTATTCTGGGAATTATCCAGCTTCGACTTGGTTCGTCTCTGCTGCGCCAACCGCTTGGATAACCCTAGCTGGTGCTGGCTGGTGCAACAACGCTGACCATATCAAGACAAATATGTCATCTTCATCACAAAGGCTCAGCCCATGGGTCGCCTCAAGGGCCACATGGTCTACAAGGTCGCTGCCACCGAGATTCTACCCATGCGCGAGCGGTTGATCCATGACCCCGACGAGGACGTCTTCATCGAGCTCCTCAAGACATTCCTAGCCTCCGGGCCCATGTACTTTTCCTACTCCATCGACCTCACCAACTCCTTCCAGCGCCAGTCCCTCGCCGACGCCTCCAAGCCCTTGTGGATGCGGGCCGATGACCGCTTCTTCTTCAACAAGTATCTCCAGAGCGACCTGATCGACTTCCGTAACAATGGCGCCCGATCCCAACCCGGTGCGCAACCGGCCATCGACCCTTTTATCCTACCATGCATATTCGGCATGCTCGAGATCAAGCCCACCACCTTCAAGGGCAACCCTCTGACTATGGTGCTCATCTCTCGACGCTCACGCCACCGAGGCGGTACAAGATATTTCACACGCGGTGTAGATGAGGAAGGTCATGTTGCCAACTACAATGAGACGGAGCAGGTTATCATTCTCAATGACAGCAACAGTGGACTCGGTGGATATGCAGGCAGCTCAGACATGCAGAGTGGCAAGTACGGTGCTGGCGCTGGCCAAGAGATGCAGATCTTCTCCTATGTTCAGACCCGCGGAAGTGTTCCGACGTTCTGGGCAGAGATCAACAGCCTGCGATATGTCCCCAAGCTTCAGATCCGCGGTATCGATGCGGCTCTCACTGCCTCTCAGAAGCACTTTGACGAGCAGATCCGCTTGTATGGTGACAACTACCTCATCAACCTCGTCAACCAGAAGGGTCGCGAGCGTCGGGTCAAGGACTCGTACGAGAAGATGGTTGAGAAGCTCATGTCTTCCCCCAAGGAGTTACACGAGGCCGACCTTCTCACCGATGAGAAGTTCACCACCATACAGCCTGAGGGCAACCGCCAGGAGTTTGACCGGTTGCACTACGTCTACTTTGACTACCACAGCGAGACCAAGGGCATGAAGATGAACAAGGCATATGCCCTCATCGAGAAGTTGGCCGATGCCCTCGACAAGCAAGGCTACTTCCGGGCCGTCGACACGCCATCTAGCATGGACGGTAACCTGGATGCTCGCAAGTACCAGACCAGCGTTATGCGCACCAACTGTATGGACTGTCTCGACCGAACCAACGTGGTTCAGAGCATGTTCGCACGCCACACCCTTGACCGCATCTTTGAGGATGTTGGCTTCATGCCTCGTGGCGCCTCGTTCCGTGATGAGGACGCTGCCTTCGAGGACATCTTCCGTAACATCTGGGCCGACAATGCCGATGTCATCTCCAACGCCTACGCCGGCACCGGCGCCATGAAGACGGACGTGACCCGAACCGGCAACCGAACCAAGGTCGGTGCCCTCCAGGATGCCCGTATCGGCATCACGCGTTACTTCCGTAACAACTTCCTTGATGGTCCTCGACAGGACTCTTTTGATCTCTTTCTCGGAGCCTACAGGCCTGGCTCCACCAACATTGGCACCACTCTTGTCTTCACTGACCGCCGTCCCATCCTGATCCAGGCAATTCCCTATATTCTTGCTTTCAGCGCATTTATTATTTTTGTCGGTCTCTTCACCCGCCGAGCCCCGGACGCGAGCGTCCTGCCCATGCGTATCTTCCTTTTCTTCTGGTCCATTGTCGCAATCTGGACCTTTAGCTTCGTTTGGAGCCACGGTATGCTCTATGTAAGTCTTCCCCTCCATGCCCTTTGCCAAGCAGCAACTAACCTGTTCTCAAGGTCAACTGGCCCCGTCTGAATCCCCGACCATACGCCGTGGAGGGTTACAACGAGCACTATGCCAAGGCACGCAAGGACGTTGTCATTGGACCCTACGTGGCCAAGCACGAGAGGGGTCTCAGCACGGCGCGGTACCTCAACGCGGAGGAGGGCAAGAAGAGGATCGAATAAATCAAAAGGGGGTGGTGCAAACGGTGTTTTTTATCTAAGGAGTGTTGCGTCATTTGCTGGCGAAGTGGTTCGGTTCTGTTTCAATTGTTTTGTTCAAACCAGGGACTATGGAACCCTGCCATTTTTCGAGACCAGCTTCCAGAGAAGGAGAGTTTCTTAGTCGTTGTAATGATGGATTAGTTGTCGACATGGCTTGTTATCCTACATGCTTTTCTGTTGTAATATGGGATGTGAATATATATAGGGATACAGGAGATAGGGAGACAAAAGAAGATGGTGTTGAAAGAGAGTGTGTAAAAGACGGTGTTTTTGTCTTTGGTATTAGCTAGGTTACATAGTTACAAAGATGATGATTAAAAAGAAGAACGAGAAACAAAACAAAGGTCGCTTAAGCACAAAAGGTCGTACACTCCGAGGCTATATGCTGCCACTGTCGTCAATCGCAACACCCAAAGGCACCCCAACTGCGCCGCGGCATGCTGCTGCCCTCATCGTGGAAGAAAAGGGGTATCAATATTGAACTTTCCCATGTGTCCAAACAAGAAGAAGAAAAAAGGGTGGGCAAAGGATAGGTAGATAGTAAAAGGATAGAGTGATAATGGTTATGATGAGAATGTGTGGATGTGAAATGACGTGCCCCGTGTTGAAAACTCCTCTTCTGCACCGACTCCCCTCTTCCAAAACTCCAGTCTTTTTTTGTTGTGTCGTGTATGTGGCTCTGTCATCTTCTCTTCTTCCCCCTTTTTCGTCTATAGCCACAGCAACCACCTGATGCCTCCCCACACGCCTTGTCCGAGGCCCAGAACGATTCTAAAGATGGTGACGACGAACCAGACGTACCACATGAAGCCGACGAGCACCCACTCGACGACGGACCACATACCTCGACGGAGCCATCTAAACCTTCTGCGCCTGTTGCGCATCATCTTCTCGATCAGGTCGAGGACGTGCTTGACCTTGAGGAGTTGACCCAGGGCAAGGTCCTTGCCCGTCTCGTCAGCTTGGTCTGCACCCTCACCCGTCATGCCTGACAGCTCATCCGCGATACGAGAGCGGACACACCAGATGCGCTCTTCCAGCTTTGGACGAGTCTGTCCTGTAAAACGATCTGCCGAAGTCTGCCATTGCTCCATTGAGGTCTGGATGGCGACTCCCAGCGTGCGGCTCGCAAGGGGAAAGTGATCACAGTAAGGTATCGGGTCATCACACGGCAGTGACTTCTTGGGAGTCAGCTTAGCAATCTCGACCCATGGCACGCTTGGAACATTCGATTGAGATGAGCACCCAAGCGTCTGGAAGCTATCCTTGCCAAGGGGCCTCTTGGGCTCCTGAGCACGGCGAGAGATCTCCATAGC